CAGGGTAACTGGGCCCTGCTGGTGCAAGTCAACTTCTGCCAGAAAGGATTGTAGCCAGACGGCTTGCTGGCAAGCCTGGGACAGGGAGATATACTCCGCCTCAGTAGAGGAGAGTGCCACTGATGGTTGCCATTTACAGCTCAAGGAAACAGGCAAACTGGCCATGAAGAAGACATAGCCAAAGGTGGATCTGCAAGTGTCCACGCACCCAGCATTGTCGGAGTCGGAATAGTGTTGTGGCTTCAGGCCTAGGTTAGGTGTATGTTCATCACCTGCTGTGGGTGCCTCATACATGATTGGACAGTCACTGGACCACAGGTGGTAGCCCGCCAGCCACTCAATGTACTCTCAGTATATCTGACCGGGGTGGAGTTGGTATCTGGCCAGGAGGCCAGCTGCAAAAGAGATATCTGCATGGGTACAGGTCTGGCACCAGAGAATGGAGCCGACAAATTTGCAGTAGGGCTTGCCAACCATGAACTGCTGTTCATTGGGAGGTGGAAGGTTGGGGGCTTCACTGAGTTTGACATTAGGTGGGAGGGGAGTGTGATGATGCCGGACATGTAGGAGCTGGAAATGTTCAAGCATATGGTGTATATAGGCTTTCTGGGAGATGGTGATAGCCTTTGTGGTCAGATTTTGCTAAATATTCATTCCCAGTAAAACACGGGACAACACTTTGCTGGATTCCCAACATTTTGCCAGATCTTTGAGTGCCCATGTGCTCCCCTGCTCTGTGGATAATCCTCCACATACGTCATCCCTGTATGTGCTAGTCAGGGTGTACTCATTGCCCTGCTGTCGGTATTGGATGCATGGGTCTGTCCGCGATGTGACGTATCCGTCCTCGCTGTAACCAGCTGCAAGGGTCTCCTGCCAGTCATGGCTGCCTTGCATTGTGCCATAGATTGACTTTCTGAGTTTGCACACCTTGTCCTCCGCACCGGGGTTGGATGAATCCATCTGGCTGTCACATGTACACCTCGTGAGAGATGGGTGAGTTGAAGAAAGTTACCGTGAAGTCCACTTGAAAGAGGGAGAGTTGGAGAGTAGCAATGATGGCTAGTACGATACATACAGACTCCATGCAAGCTACTGTTCCATATGTCTTATCATAGTCTTGCCCCTGGATTTGGGTGTATTCCTGCACCACCCATCGCGCCTTCCATTTGAGTACTTTGCCTCCTGGCCCCCCACTTGATAGTATATGTCCATCTGCCTCAGGTGAGGTTTGTGTCTGATAGTAGGTGCACTAGCTCCCAGCAACCCTTTTCAACCAGGGTCTTGTATTCAGCCTTCATCAGTGGTAGTCATAGTTCCGGGGCCTTCATTGAATGTGGATGGGACCCAGGTATTGGAGGTGGTTAATGTGAAAGCCCAGGGGTTGACCGCAATGAGAGCAAGAGTTTGGTTGGTGAACAGCAAGTCAGTCGCCCATTCTTCTCTGTTAGCCTGCGCGAGGAGCTCACGCTCTTCGAAGGCCTAATTCTCAATTGCAACGCGTGAGGGAGTGCATATGTGGGAGCTTTGTCGTATCCGCATGCTGTTGAGCTGTGGGTCCATCAGTGGGTGTTGCTGGTTCTGGACTGCCCGCAGGCAGTACTTCTTTGAGTTTGCCGTTGTCGTTGTGGTCAGGTATGTTGTCCCTGGACCGGTGTGCTTCCCCTTCCTCAAATTGGATGTCCCTTGACTCCATGAAGGTGTGGTTGGGTGGATGCACAGTTGATAGCCCCTCCGGCCCATATACCCTATCAGCTTGCACTCGATGGCTTGACAAGCGGATTTCCCTTCTCTTCTGCTCTCTGGAAGTGTGACCCATGCTCTGCATCGAAACAGTCAAAGATGCGACACATCCTGGCGTTTCCCTGACCAATATTTGATTGGGACGCGGACTGGACATTGTGCTGTTGCACAAAGTTGTTTACGTAGGTGAACATTGCTGCAGCCTCTGCCCAAAATGAGCGGGGGAGACCTGACTCTTCAAGGAAAGTGCGTACTCCCTCAATGACTGTTTTATTACCTCTCTCAGCCATCCTGTTTGCAGACGATGAGTATGGAGTGATCTTTTCAATGGTAATGCCATGGTCTGCGCAGTATCCCTTCATGAGGCTGTTATTGAATTTGCCTCTGCCGTTGACACGTATGATCTTCATCTTCTGCCCTGTTTGGTTTTCAGTCATGATTCGGGATTGGTGGAACTCCTTCAGGGAGGTCTCCTTCCGTTTGACTTTGAGGAACGCAGGGACTCAGACTGACGAAGCCCCATCAGAGAAGAGCATCATATACCTCGCTCCCCCTATACTCTCTTGTTGCTGGTCCCCAAAGGTCTAACTGGACTCTCTCGGGTACTTCTGTCTTGTGGGTGAGTTTTTCATTGAACGGACTTTGTGTCGCTTTCCTGTACAGGCAGTCGATGCACATTCCCATTAATCTCTTTGATTTAATTTGTAGGCCATCCACAAGCCCCCTGCTCTCCATCCGCAGAATTCTCACTACTGATATGTGCCCCAGGCGAAGGTGCGAGATATGTACATCTGCTGGTTTCTTGTGTGACCTTGCCGAGCTTGCTAATGTCTGGTCTAGGATCTTGACTTCATATATTTTTGTCTGGCCCTTCTGGTGTTTTGACACTCAATACTCCGTTGCCTCACTCCCCTCAGAACGCTTGTTGTACAAGAGTCAATAGCGAGATCAGATTGTGCCCAAATTCTGGAGTATGCTTCACATTGGTGAGCTGTATCCTTTGCACTGCTTCCCCAACTCTCGTTGTAAATTCAACAGTCCTTGTGCCCTCTATTGTGAACTTTCCGATATTGCCAGATAGTGTGCTGGTTCCGCTCTGCCCCTTCGCTCAATAGTATTCCACAAAGTCTGACTTATTTACCCAGCGGTGTTCAGTAGCGCCAGAATCAATGAAAGTCCGGGAATAATGGATTCTCATAGGGGTGTATAGAAGTGTATTGCTTTGGTGTGCCTCGCATGCTAGTGGGCTCAATACTACGTTATGTCTATGTATGTCCTTAACCCCGTTCACCTCCCTCAGTTCCTGACACTCCCACCCTTTCAAAAAAGAATGATCATTGCTATCGGGAGGTTTTTCAGTTGGGGGCGCACTTTGATGCGAAGTACTGGTAGACATACTAGAGGAGGTGTCTCTGTTGGCCTGGGTCATATCAGCTGACAGGACATATGTCTCCAGGGGTGGTGCTGCAGCTGTAGCGTTGGCTGTGGCCACTACTGTGTTCCCAGGTGTGGTCTGACTCCAGTTAGGTTCATTATTCTTGTTGAATCTCCATCCATTGGATCCTTTGCCCTCTGCACCCCCTCCCTTTGCCCAGCACCTTTGGATTGTGTAGCCGACTTTCTTACAGTTGGGGTTGGTGCATGTTGGCCTATTCCTTTCCGGAGTCTGTACGCTTGCTACGTGCATTGCAAGCAGTGTCTTGACTTTCTTTTCTTCTCACTCTTCCTCTGCAGCCAGATACCTTGGAGGTATATGAAGGCCTCACTACTTGTCTTTCCCAGGAGGTGCCTGATGTCGGCATCCCAGTCTCTGGGCAGTGATGCGAATACAATTACGCAGAATTGTCCATCAGTTATTACTGCGCCAGCGTTGGTTGCCTTCCTGAGCAGGTTTCGCATGGTCCTTTTATTTTCTTCCATGGTCTCTCCGGGTAGGAGTATCTGTGAGCTCTGAGGTTACTGTTGTGGAAGAGGAGTAGCTCCTCTGACTTCTGTTCAAATTGCTTGACTAACTCACCCCACATATCCGAGGCTGATTCGATATAGTCTACACCTAATCCTGTGGGGTTGACAATAATCGATACTATCGTGCTCATAATGTATTGGTCACGCGCGTACCATTTTACTCGGGAGATGGTGTTTGGCTATATGGTGGTGCTATTACTGTAGGTGTAATGGTTGTACCCTCTGGTGAGGTAACGGTGACTGCGGGCTTGGCGTTGCTGGGCTTAGGTATAGATCTGTGTAGGTACCCTTGCATGCCTTTTGATTCTACTGCGAGACTAACTTCCCTCTTGTAGGGCCACCACTTATCTTCCCTCTCCAGTGCTATTCCGGTGGGGAATTGCTGGACGTTTGGCATATTAGATGACAACGACATCGTGGAACTGGTTGGTTCAATTATTTGAGGCATAGTTTTTTTTTCGCTCCTCTAAAGCTCTAGTCTCATAATCTATTGAATGATAAATACTCAGTTGGATAGAAAACAACTGTAATTGGTACCTGTTAAATGATAAATACTACATGTACTATGAATAACTGTTACACAGGTAAATAATCATTTGGCTCACCTCAGTTGGATAGAAAACAACTGAGGAAGCCCATGTCCATTGCCTGCAGGTGGCTAATAAACCATACAGTGTATATGTAATCCTGTGGGCGGAGGCAAATATACTGCCCCTATGGACTGTGCGTACGCCGGGTGGAGATAGAGTCTAACAATGGGGAGTCATCTGTAGTAAGATAAATGAAAACATACCAGACCCGACACATCAGGAAACCCACCCATGGAAAATGGGGCACAAATTTCGACAATCTCGAGAAATAACACAAATTAGCTAGTTTGCCAAATTTGCCAGATTAGTTAGCCCCCCATATATTTTTCGAAGAATTTTTGCAAACTTCGAATAAGTTTCCGTGATTTCTTCCAGTCCAAGATGTGAAATTACCCACCTTTGTGAACACTTTCACCTAATTTCATCCATCCATCGCAGTCTTATTTTTGAAAATTAGCCTGTATTTGCTGATTCATTGAGGCTTGAGCATTGAAATTGAGACAAATTTAAACATATTGAGTCAGACAGTAGGAATAATTTCATTGCATTAAATCATGGAAAATAAATGTAGCTTAACAGAATCCACTCTTCGACTGATTAAAACAAACGAACATAGCATAATCATATATAGAATGACGCGGGATGCAGAATTAGGTATTACATCACAGCGGATGTCATGGTAACGGGCTCGGAGCTGCGATACTATGTTGTAGAGGCGGCAGGAGCAGCGGGAGAAGTGTCAACATTGTCTGCAGCAAGCGCAGCCCAATCTGTCGTGTCAAGGATCTGTTGCTGCGACCAACCATGCTGAGCAAGTGGCAATGCACCACTGGAGAAAACAGGTTAGTAAGACATCGAGTATCAACTAAAATGCTTACGGAGTTGCCATGTACAATTCATGCATAATCTTATGGTAGAGCACGCGGTTGACACGTTCGATATTCTCGAGGGTAGAAATGGCAGTCCTCCAAATCGCAGCAGACTCTGTGGCTGGGAAGCTTGCGGGATGACCACCACGCGAGTAGTCATTGAGTAATGCGTGAATCTGGATTGTTATGAGCTATGGCTAGAGTAAAATTTAATGAAACGTACCCCAGCTGTTGCAAGGGCCACCATGCCTTTTGTGAGCTCCAATTCTAGTGGCTTGCTCTGATTTGAGGAGGTGAAACGGCCTTGACATCCTCGGATCACTGTACCATATAACCCTGTACCGAAGAATGTCCCTTGGACATAGGCAATGTATGCACGATGTTGGAAAGGTTTGAGATTATTGAAATTGCCATTCTAAGGATATGTTAGCAAAGTCACGCATACTAATGAGGACAACAGACCGGATCGAGACCATACATGAAATGTTTGGTAAGAATTATTTGAGCTGCAGTCATAGTCCCTCCGAAGTTATTCAATCCGTAAGCATTAACAACAACGGCACTCAATCCAATCCCTTTCAGCTCCTTTGCCCACTCGTTTCCAATGCGGCTAGCCACCTATGAGAAAATATGATCAGATATCCAATGAAAGTGAGAAAACAACACCATACATAAGCTGTCAAAGGCTTAATATACGTGTCATGCTCTCCGTGTTCCAAACGATCAGCTACATCATGCTCGCCCTCATATCCTAATTGTTCCGCAGCCTTGATTAGTGAGCTTATAGCGAGTTGCTTCACTTCTTCTGAATCCAAAGGACAATACTTGTGGCCTGTTAAAAGCTCAGCCTTACCTTCTTTGATGGCTCGCTCAATTACACCTTGCATAGTTGTAGATTGTCCACTTTTGCTGAGAATCCAGGTGTGCCCAGAAGTCCCCTTGCAATGAACTGCAATAGTGGTACGATCTCTCCAAGTGGGACCCACCAGTGGAACTGTTGCTGGAAGTGTTGTAGTCAAACGTGTTTTATTGACCAGTACAGGTACAGGAATATTCTTCGATGTTGGAAGGTTCTCATTAGTGATCCGTGGCAGCTTCGAGTCCATTCAGAGTAAAATATGATGCGTAGACAGGATACACACCTCATATTCGAGCTTCCTCGCAACTTCTTGTGTCACCTGTTGGAGTGGAGGTGATTGCTCTACTACAGAATTGTCATTGAAATCTGACGCCGGTGATGTGTAAGGAGAAGAAGACAGATCAAGACTTGATGAACGGATACGAGGCACTACATATACAATCAGGTTAGCAACCGAACTGTAATACACATAATTATTCTGAGCTCACCATAGTTTTCCGACAATGATGAACAGAAATGTGCCGCCTATGCACCAGGTAGGTGAATACAATGTATTCAGAGAAAATAATTGAGCGCACCTCCATCTCAAAGGAGTGTACAGCTTGTCGGTCATGTTCCCGCTCATTCTCGATTATGCCATGACCGTCATCATTATCCTCTGGACCACTAGAGTCAATATCTGGCTCTGTATGCTCTCTCGCTGAAATGATGTCGTTGGAAACTGACGGCGGCGGGGAAGCAATATATGGATCTATGGTTGAATGAATTTGTTGATGTTCATAACGAGTAATGTAATAATCATACCTTCCTCAGGCATGTCTACATTGACCTGTATAGCCCCATGCTTTCGAGCCTCTGTAGGAAATTTCAGTGGGTAGGAATGCACCTCACTCAAATACAAGGACGTACTTGCTGGCTTAGACTTCAATGGTGTGTTCATGGCCGCTGTGGCAGACTTGTTATTTGATGCTTTCTTTGTCTTCTTCGAGGCCGGTGTATCTAGAATAAAAAAGGTATGAGCAGAGAGTATTTTACAATGTGTCATGACCTTGACCTTTTGTGGAACGCTTTCGCTTGGCTGACGTCTCTGTTGACACAAAGGTAGGTGTAGTGGGTGTAGTGTCGGCAACAGACTTGTTGCGAGCACTCCGCCGTGCAGCTACTGTTTCCCCCATAGACTGCTGTGTGGTTACAGGTAGAGGTGGGACATCTACTGTGGATTTACGCCCGGCTCTGGACATGGCAGAAGCTCAGTGAATAAAAAAGGGAAAAAATTAGCTTAGAAACAAACGAAAAAATCATGAAGCATTGAACTTAACCATAAATAATTTTACCATCATGTGACTCAAGAACGGCATTTCAAGCTGCAATATCGATATCTGTTCACTTTATCTTTGCAATATCATGACTTTTGTTTGCTCTGCGTGTTGGAGATCCTTCAAACAGCTAGGACATCTTATACAGCATGAAGATAAAACTGGTAATCATGCTTGCAAGGAAGCTGGAAAAGCACGGGTAGAGATTCTTCAGCGCAACAGTACTAGATCTCCCCGTCGCAGCTACCGTAGACCTCACCATCAATCAGATTCACCCCAGCAATCTCATCATGACCGATCCCAGTCACTCGATACTCATTCATCTACATCTCACTCTTCTGAATCATCAAATCCAGATGATAACGATGAAGGCAATGAAGGAAATGGGCCGATTAAGATCTTCGGGGGTGATTTTTTCGGAAATGACTACATGGCAGATGATTTCCCGGGCTTAGATGATGATGATGAGGAAGACCTTGCTGGAGATGTCAATAGGGAAGATGAAGATGAAGATGTCTGTGATGATACTTTGATGGATCTTGAATGAACCTGGGAAGAAGAAAGGGAGTGTGTTGTCATTCCAGAGGAGAAGAATACAATACCATGGATGTTGATGAGAATACAAGGAAATCATGCCTCCGTTCACTCCCAGCACACCGCAATGACATTCATGTTGATGTGTATGGGGGTCAAGCTGGTGCTCCGCTTCCTGATTCAAATCCAACCCATACTTTGCACAATTCCTCACATGGGTTTCTCCACTATCAGTCCCAGATTTCTGGTATTAATCATAATCCATGGGCTCCGTTTCAATCACGCATGGACTGGGAAGTTGCTCGTTGGGCAAAAATGCGTGGACCCAGTTCGACTGCCTTTTCAGAATTACTTGAGATTGATGGAGTGCGTTTTTAGAACTAATGTTTCTCAAAGCTCAGTGTTGACTTTCAGCCCCAGGTTTGTAAAGCTCTCGGACTCTCATATCGGAATAGCAATGAAGTTAATGGTATCATCGACACTGGTCTCCCTGCTCAGTGCCCATCTTTCACCCGGGAAGAGGTCATCATTGCTGGAGAATCATTTGATTTATATAAACGGGACATCAAAGAATGTATCCAAGCATTATATGGATCTCCTGAGCATGCACGTTACATGTGTTTTACACCTGAACGGCACTACTCTGATGCAGATAAGACTTCTCGGCTCTATCATGATTTCTATACTGGAAAATGGTGGTGGGCTACACAGGTAAGTATCTAAATCAAAGTGAATATTCTCTCCTGATGGAAGGTGGATTCATTCAGACTGCATTAGAGAAGGAAAACCCTGGGGCGACAGTTATTCCTGTCATTATATCTAGTGACAAAACTCAAGTCACTCTGTTTCGCAACAAATCTGCATATCCTGTTTACCTTACTATCGGTAACCTTCCCAAAGAAATTCGGCGGAAACCCTCACAGCAGGGTCAAATTCTACTGGCATACCTTCCAACAACAAAGCTACAACATCTGACTACTAAGGCTGGACGACGACGAGCTCTAGCAAACTTGTTTCATGCATGTATGGGTAATTTAGTTGCACCACTCAAGGAGCTTGGAATATCTGGAGTTGTCATGCAGAGTGGTGATGGAGTCAAACGACGATGTCATCCAATCTTGGCAGCATACATTGGAGACTATCTGGAACAGATCCTGGTGTCCTGTGGATATTACGGCGATTGTCCAGTCTGCATGACAACAAAGGACAAGCTTGGTGAATATCCGTGTACCCACCTCTTTCGAGATCCTGACAAAGCTGTGGAAGCTGCGAAGCTTATACACACCAACCTGTGGGTGGACTACTGTGACGAGGCCAATCTGAAGCCTGTGCAGCATCCATTTTGGGAAGACTTGCCTTACAGCGATATATTCCGTTCAATTACACCTGATATTCTGCACCAGATGTACCAGGGAGTTATGAAACACCTTGTTCAATGGATTACCAGTATTGTTGGTGCAGCTGAAATTGATGCTCGGGTCCGTCGCCTACCCCCAAATCATGGTATCCGTCAATTTCAGAAGGGTATTTCTACTCTTTCGCGGGTGAGCGGATCAGAACACAAGCAGATGTGCACATTTCTTCTTGCCCTTATAATCGATATCCCTCATTTGACACCTCAACAATCACACAATCTCTCAACTGCAACTCGCTCGCTTCTTGATTTCCTCTACCTCGCATGCTACCCCATCCATAGTGATGATTCATTGGATATTCTTGAAGCATCGCTTGCAACATTCCATGAATATAGAGATGTCTTTGCTCAGTTGTCAGTCCGTGAGCACTTCAACCTACCAAAACTCCACTTTCTATGCCATTATGTCCGTGCTATCAAACTCTATGGGACGACTGATAATTATAATACTAAAACCACTGAGCGCCTTCACATCGACTTCACAAAAGATGCCTTTCGGTCATCAAACCGAAAGATGAATACCCACAAATGACTCGATGGTTAGAACGTCGTGAAAAGATCATTCACCATACCAACTATCTTACTTGGAGGAGTTCCAGATCTCCAAGCCCTGCTGCAGCATCCCTAGATGTGGAACAATGTTTTGACTTCCCTGGTGCAATACGTTCATTGTCAGACCTCAAATGCACACTTACACAGCAAATGGCAAAGACACCTACTCTCCGATCAGTTTCACTCTCGAAGATTGAAGATACAGGCTCTCGAGGTTATGGTGCACTGAACTTCATACCTGCACTGAAGAGATTTATTGCTCAATTCCGGCATCCTGACTATGAACCTTGGCGCCAGTTAGAAATGGCCGAGTTCATCACTTTTCCATTCCGAACCTTGCCTGTATGGCACCGTTTGAAATTTCGCAATGAAGAACTTTACGATAAATGCACTTTGGATACAGTTTGTGCCTACCCGCGACGATATAATTCAAGAAATGAAATTATTCAGCATGCACGCTTCGATACAGCACTGATCCAGGTGAATGGAGTGGAGGTTGACAGCAATAATTATTTCAAAGGTAACGACCCACAGTATATCCCAAATCTGACAATATAATGACACAAGCTACCTAGGTATGCAAGTTGGTCATGTCCGTGTCATATTTTCGCTTCCTGAAGGCAAGCTTCATGGATTACTTCCAGCAAACATGACACCACCGAAATACCTTGCATATGTGGAGTGGTTCAGCCGTTTTCCAAGTCAACCAGAATCTTACACAGGACTGTATCGTTTGAAAAAGCAGTCCAATAGAGATGGAACTCCTGCAGCCTCCATTCTGCCACTGGAGACGATCAAACACAGTGTTCATTTGTATCCGAAGTGGGGTGGAACAGTTCCTGCAGCTTGGACAAGTGAAAACGTACTTGATAAATGTCAGACATTTCTCTTGAGTCCATTTCGAGACACACACATGTACTTTAATATGGGATAATTAACACTAATTTGCGAGTTGCGAGATGTACATCTGTAGTTGTTCTCACACTCAATGCCTTTCCACGTCGATCATCTTTTCACTGTCATCAACAGCAATGAAGAGGTCAGCTTCGGAATTGGAAGATGATGATGAAATTACCGAGAGCTCACAAGATTCGGAGATGCCAATGAGTGTTTGGCTTCAACAGCGTACAGCTAACAGCTACAGGTATGTGTTCCCTACATGCTTCTTTTGCAGCGTTGCTCATTGCTTCTACAGCCCTCTTAGATCTTCCAAGACCCCGAAGCGGATGACTGAAGACATTCAACATGATTTGAACCAGACTCTGGTCGAAGTCAACAACAATGAAGTATTATGTGCTACATGCAGAATACCAGTCACACTGTGGGATGTCGAAAAGAATGTACCTGTTCAGGCCGTCGGTGAGAAAACTCTCGAATCCCTGACACCCAAATACTGATATTCCAAGAAGATTCAAAGTATAATAGGCTTGTCCGAAGATTCCTACGTCCCGAAGAAGTTGGTGATAATATTATCATTGCGGAGAACGTACGACTCAGGAATACTATCCGTTCCCTCGAGAAGGAACTTAGTGACCGCCAACATGATGTATGGCAACTTGAAGATGAATTGAAAACCCTTCGAAACGGTCTTCGACAGCTTTTACATTGATGATAATTCCGCTCTCTTTGATACAGTAGAGACGCATGTTTTTTGCTTACTTCAATGCACAGCGTAATTCTTATCCTCTACATGTATCAAATTAATCTAAGTAATTTTTGATAATTGGGAGCGGCCTCTGTTATGAATGGAATATTATGGAATATTAGGAAGGTTTGCACAAATCAACTCAAATTTTTCGTGTTCAAAGATTAGTAGAAAGTTTTTGCCTGATTTCCCGGGGGTGGGTTTCCTGATGCAATGACGATGCAAATCAGTTCTTACTGCTGATGGATACTACGATGGCCAGAAGATGGTTAATAAATATGTTTAAACATACATTGAAATAGTACATAGTTTCATTTGATGATTATATCCTCTTTCTCATCAAATTCCTTCTTCTTCTTTCTATCGCCTTCCAAATCGTTGATAAACGTACAAAAAAAGAAAACAAAAACCAAAAATTCCATATCGTATTCCGCCATATAATACACAAGATAAATTTAAAACGATTGCTTGTCAATACTCAAATGATTTGTCTATGCATGAAAAGTCAGTGGAATTATTTATTGCGTCTCCATAATCTGACCATAAATCGTCGCATTGTCCAGTTAATGATGAAGAAAGCGGATCGAAATGTGTTGTGATCGGAGGCACGGCGAATCCAAAAGGATCAATAAATTCGCCTTCTAATTGATCATCCAAACCATACACTACATCATTTTCAGCGAATGGAGGATAAGTGGTAGGATTTTGGCCGCAAATCGATTGATTTTCGTATCCCGTTCCAGTATAATCGTTGAAATGATTAGTTGTCGACGAATACTGAAAGTCAGTCGCAAAGGAATATGATGGAATGTACGTTGTACATGATTCGTTGTCCCTTGTAGAGATGTCGGCGGCGTTCGATGAAGGAAGAACTTCCGAAACTTGTCCATCGTCCATCGCTATCAGTTGATGAACAACAACATATTATAATATAAAATTGCAGTAAATACTTACTGATATTGGCTGAAGCTGCCCATTCTTCATTAAAATCTCCATAGAATATCTTTGGGATTTTATACACGGCGGTAGGCGCTAATATCGGGAGGGAGGAAGGGATTGACGATCGCGTTTCGTTTTCATTTTGAACATGTATTTCTTCTTTGTATGCATCACATACAGGAAAATCCAATGAAGTCGATTGTGACGACCCTGCAATTTCTTCGAAAGTTATATTAGATCGCGTTCTCCGTCCGCAAATAGCAATATTCGCGGCTTCAATTTCATCTTCATTTTTGGACGAATGTAACGATGGCTATGATGACACATATGCGTAGCGTGAACACCTTGAGCAGTGTCCAAACACGTACTTTTTGTCGATTTCCTTTCGACGACGATGCGACATTGTTTTCATTCTCCAACGGCTTCAAAAAACAAATACATTGCAGTGACGAACAACAAGTACAAAAAGATAACTTACCGTGGCCCATCTCACAGAATCAATCAAAGGCATCATAATTTCCTCCTCTGAGGTACGGTTATACCATGCAAGAAGAAGATCGTACTGTGTTCCCGAAATGTTCATGGTCTCCGAAACACGGAATTTCCTTAGAATCGGTACCCTCGTACATCTGTAGTATGGAGGACAATTCGCGCAGCGAAGCGCGCTGCCGTTTATTGTGCACTTCTTCCCTCTAGCTACACACTGATCACATATCTGGACCAAAATAAATAATTAACTGTATAATCGATTCGAAATGAATTTACGAACGACATGTTTGAACCTGTAATTCAGTTGTTGTCGTTCCCGTAACGTCCCGTGTTTTTTGTAAATAATGGTGAAAATTTGTTTCAACTCGTCAGTGATAGTTGTCATTTCCAATCGAGCTTCGAGTGTATCGGTGACGTTCCTTTGTCCGCTGTGGAAAACCTGCCAAATTCGCCAATCGATAGACAGATGTATCAAAAGTAGCGAAATAACGCACGGCAGTGAACGAGTCAGTGGAAGTGAACGAAGCGGTTGCTGAACTTAAACCAGGTACACCTCGTGCGCCTTTTCTTAATATATGCAATGAAATTGTTTTGAAGGACCGCCATTCCTTACGTCTTGCAAATCAATGTACAATACAATTCGTATCACATCGTTGCAGGACCAGACCACTTTAACTTTGTGGATTCAAAAAGACGTGCATCCAAATCGGGACTCCTCATGCTCCAAAATGTCTTCGCTTCTCCTTTCAATGAACAAAAATGTAGCATATGTATATAGCTAATACAAACACGACAACGTGTCTAATGTTTATGGGTATACACAAACTTCTAGACTACAAGTCGCCGTTCTCCGTATGATTTGTCTGCTGTCTTTTACTAACGTACCACTACTTACAGAACGGGTATAAATTGTGCAGCAAAATGTTGCACTTAAAGTAGATATATGTTTCTATTTTTTTTTCTTTTCTAGAAAAACATGTAGAATTCAATCAAGTAAGTAGATGAGCCCGTAAAAAGGAAGTGGTCAACACTGAGAACTGTGTTTTCTGTAATCTTCTCTCATTATTCAAATCAGTTTCATCATTTTCGTACCACTCAAAACCACTCAAACCATTCCGACGCTCAAAATTCAGAAAATTTCGAAGTCATTCCTCAACTAAGGAAAGGATGGAAAGAAAAGGACTGATACGGTCCAATTGAAAGTTTAATATTTGTTAACTATCACCTAGTCTAAAAGTAACCTAGTGTGTTTACAGCGCATTACCTACAAGAGTCTATCATTGTTGTGAAAAGAGCTTGACTGAAATCTTGATACATGTGATCCTTGAGATATCGAGTCAGAAGATTAGAGTTTGCGAACAGTACCCGGAACATTTACCTCAAAATCCACATCGGAAATGTTTCTGATTCCTTCCGATTATTTTACTACGATAGGACTAACAAATTCGTCGTCGTTTACAAAGGCGGGGATACTGGCTACATCTACGTGCAGTACGATATTGTAGCTGATTGTACTGCAGATATAGACAAATATGATTTAGCGATGACGAGAATTCAGTGCGTAATGCATCCTTACAATTTTATCTCCTCGATTGCGTTTGTGACGAATACGAGTGTTGAGGACATACTATGGTAACAACAAGACAAAGAGGTAAATGTGACGTCTATACGCGCCGTGGGCAATTAGACGCCCTAATCGTAATTCTGTTTTGGAGCCAACCAAGGGCGCGTCGTTGAAAGGGAAGAAGTGTGGATTCGAGTCGGTCATGCCGCATGGATTCTTCAGCAACGGTAGAAGCAACAGGTGGAGCAGGACCTAGAGTGGAATACTAAAATGAAATATTAACAACACCTTCAAACGACGGGGGAGCTGGACTACGAGGATAAACGAATGAAAGCACCCGACACTGCGCATCCTCGATGTATGGTCTCTGCGCAATGGTCTCGAATATGGTGGAATAACAAACGACCCACAGAGTTCAATATGAAGTCGGAACGATAGTGTGTTATTTGCGTCTAGGATAATAATGAAATTTGAACGCAGGTAAGTCGCGACTCTTCCGTGTGGTGCAAGTACCTTAACACAGTGTATGAGGTCTTTTGTGTGTGAATATGCGAAGTCGAAGGATTCCTGTTCCAAATTCCAAGAATTGCACACTGATACCAGGGTCAACCATGTAAATGATGTCGAAGATGATGTAGTCAGAACATAGCGCCCACCACTTGTTTTTGCTAATTTGACTTCTCCTAGGTCTACAGAAAACGGTTCGGAATGTCCCAAGCTAATGCGTTATGACTCATTTCGAAACCAATCTTCTTCTTCCTGCCACGCATTGGAAGACGAAAACTGATCCGCAAGCCCATCGACCGGTATTTCACTGCTAAAATCAATCTCAATGATATTATGGAATGCGGGGACGAGTTCTGTGTCTTCTTCCGGGAAAATGTGGAACGAAAAGCCATCCAAATTCGATGGGTAGTAGTCCATCACCACGGGACAGGGGTCAGAATGAGCAATAGCACCTTCTCAAGGTTTCGAGCGCTTGTTCGAAGAGGTAAATGAGTCTGCCGAGGAAGAGTGAGCGCCTTTCTTTCCATTCCTGACGTTTCTGAGTGCAGTCGCGGTACTCTTTGTGTGAGTCGTTTGAAGGTAAACCAGTCGTATTATCTCTGGTAGGTTGAGAGCGGATCTGTAGCCGTGATGAGATGGGTCTCCAGTTCTATAAACCGTTTCAAGAAGTTTCAGATTATGGACATGATGAGATTCAGTTGATTTAGGCATGAGTGGAGATAGTCAAGTCGCAAAAGTCTACGAGCGCGCATGTCTGCATGATCAATTTCACACGATAAGTCATTCGGCACGATCAAGTATAATTTCATCACTAGCTGACTCTCACGTCGAAGTTACCCGGCTATGGAGGCGCAGAATATTTACTGCACCAGCTTCCAGGAAACATGAGAACCCTTTAGCGAGCTATTTCTTAGTCCTATTAATATTGACTTTTTAAAGATGTTCACCTTCAAATTCTCACTATTCAGATCTAATAGGGCCTTCCTTTAAATAATACTCGTTCTCTTCCACAAACTCCCCGCACAGGACCCATCAGTAGAGGATTATCTCCAAAGTGCAAGCTCCCAATCGTAGAGCGCGTCGTCTTAGTTTCCAGCTGTAAGGGTGGTGTTAAGAAGAGTACGATTGCCGGTATGTGTGCTCATCCGGTTAAGTGACTGAAGGTCGTTGATATCATCCGCTGCAGCTAACTTGGCTGTATCACTATCACTGCTTCCACAACGGCTACCGGTAGGAATATTAGACTTAGATGTCTTCGGTCCTTCTATCCCGACACTTATTGGCTTGAAAAATATAGAAGACCTGGTCTGACGCGAGGTCAACCGAAAATCAATTTTTACCCACTTTTTACTGATATTCCTACAGACGGCGACTTGATCCCAATCACGAATCACAGAATTTCGACCATGTCCATGGCATATCTCCTACCTTCAGCGTCCCACTCTTCATCATCGCCATTGACAAACCCAGAGTCTGAACCACCGATCATCCAAGACACGCCAGTCGTTTGGCGATATCTGATGGTACAAAAAGTCGTACAACAATTTTTATTCCAAACCAACTGGTCCGCTGGCGTGTCTCAGGGTGCTTCTTCAGGCTTGGAAATCGTTGTCGTAGACGTTCCCCCGGGAACAGGAGATATTTAACTCAGTGTTGGTCAGTTGGATGATGTAGATAGTAAGTGAATCGTGATTTGTCAGTTGTCAATCTCCTACCTCCGTATCTGCCTTCTACACTAAACATTGTTCATGCACTATGACCTGTATACTTAATGATTTGCCTCTTCAAGTACCATCATAATCACTACTCCTGATGTACTGTCCCTGTCCGATGTCCGCACAGGTCTTTGCATGTTCCGCAAACTCGAGATACCTCTCACCAGGCTCGTCATCAACAATGGCTATTGTATCTGCCCAAACTGCGCCGCACGACACTACCTGTTTGATGGCAACCCAAACAACTCGGAAAACATGACCGCAGGGGTTAAAGCAATGGAGATGGATGGTGATAGAATAATTGGAGAGCTTCCCCTAGTCGATGTCCCAAGAGGAGTCGAGAAAGGAATTCCGTATGCCTTGAATGAGCGAGTCGTAGGAGATAATGATCCCCGGAAGGTGTGGCTAGTAACGATGACCTGTGCTACGGAACGGATTTGGGAAAAAAATACAGTTTATCACAAACTAATTAGTCTCTCAATATACGACCCAGATTGGATTATTTACGCAGTTTCACAACTGATGACTGAATAAGTAGTAGCATTGATGTCATGAGAAATCGAATCCGCAAGCAACGACCAGCACTATACAATTTTTGGCAATGAACAGCGAAACTAATTAGTATTCGTGATATAAACGAGTTACATATTGGATTTCATTCCTCCTCATCCTCTTCGTTCTCGTCAGTGATGCTCATATCTAGCTTTCTCTTCTTACCAGGCATCTCCTTTCCAGCACCAAAGCCTATTCCAGCCTTTTCGCCAAGCATCTCCAAGTCCTGCTGTTGTTCCTCCGAACACTCGAAATCTAAATGCCATCCTAATAGGTCTGTATGACGGAGAGCGGCATAGGAATTTTCTGCTTCTTGCCTTGCCACAAAGACAAGGAACGTAAATCCACGCGTTCGCGAGTCAAATTTCTTGGATAGCCAGACAGATCTCAGATAACCATGACATCTTCATTGAAGTAGTGAGATTTCATGAAGATGAGAGAATGAAACAGAGTTCACATACCCAAATAAATCCCGAATATCTTTCTGTCACCTCGAATGGCACGTTGTTGACAATCAGCTTGGTCGTTCGACTCTTCGACCTTACGCCATCTTTCCCTTTATCAACATCCTCATCGGCACCACGATCACCGAATTTGATATGCAATGCGTGGACATCGAGGACAAAGCCCTGCATACTGTTCATGGCCTTCCGTGCACCATCAACATCCTTGAACCCAATAAAGCCATGTCCCATACTCAACTTCCCGTCAGATCTATTTCGATCCCGCTTCATTTCTACGCGCGCGAAAGCAAACGAAGGAAAGTTTCAGAACATCTAATTCATCCGCTCCGTGGTAGTAGAAGACGCCACGCCTTCATTCGTCGCTTCAGCAGTTTGTTCCGGGCTTTTGACAACATAAGCGGGAATGATACCAGGAGTTGCGGACTATGATGCAGAAGAAAGAGTAGGAGCATCGGTGAAGATACCGATGGGAACTTTTTTCGAATTGCCTAATCGTCGATAAGCTACTGCTCTGAAGCCCCAGCTAGCTTCGTCTGGCTTCTCAAAACGGACAACCGCGATGGTACCGACTGGGGGCACCAGCACCCGGGAGACAGTTCCATGCGGTTCGAACAGCTCCCGTATCTGAGTATCGGACATTCCGTACGGAATGTTCTTGACTAAAATTGTAGTATCGGCACGGGCGGTTCAAGAGGATGAAAACGAAGCAAGACCGACGCCATTGGATTCAAGATAAGCTTTCGTTTCATTGATAATATGCGTCTCGAGCGCAAGCTCAACGCCAGGATTGGTAGACAAAGGTGGATCGTCAGAATCAGGGTTAACATTGTCGACTTTGGGTATGTTCATCCGGTCAGCAATGGACGAAGCCACAGCATCACGCTGAAATGCGACGATGAGCAACGACGCTGATAAACGATATTGAATCACAGACGTTCATGTATAACAAACTCCAATTGAACTCTTTCCCTGCCGTGGCTTTGCGTTGCGCGTTATTTTCATCTTTGAGACTTCGTTTTGCACCATCTCCTTGTTTGAGTTCGAACTTGCCCTTCCGGTCAACAGTTGGAAAAATATGCACTGTGTCACATTTGCGAAAGCCACAGTTCTTGACAAAACATCTTTCCAACAGCGAATAAACAAGGTCTGTAGGTTGTCGAATCGATGGAACAACAAGTATATGCTGACAACGATGACATTAAGAGGAATTGGCTTTATAGGAGACTGGATTGTCTTGACTTGAGTTAAATTCGTGATTGTTCACCGAGTAATAGTCGAGATTCTTAATGGAAGAACATCACACCTGGGCTTCATGATATCCGAATGAGACGAATCGAACGCACGTACAGTCGGACCGCCATAGTGAAATCCAGATGATTAAGCTGCCGTCCTGATTTGGTATGCACGATCGAGGTCTCAATGTTCTTGATACAACTTCCGAGCGACAAAGAGCCGTTGAAATATGCGGTTTTTATTGCTACGTGATACAAGAATGGGAAATCGAAACAAATCAACCGGCGACGTGAACAGATCACGCGCGTCTCTGAATCTGGACCCGTGGACGTTTCCGTAATGATCTCGATATGATTGACGGGGTAAAATTGTCAGGCCCGATCACCGACCGACACTCTACCGTTTCTTTCACGAGATAAGTAACCCAGGTCTTTGCTTTTTCTTGTCGCGTTGTCTGCGTGATCAATATAAACGATGGCATTACCATATGAAGCGGAACTCTACCGACAATTCCATGAACCACGTTATGCTTTTCCTATATTGGCTAACCGTAAATAGACTTGAATCATAGCACATCACCGGCGGCATCGATTCCATTAGCTTTAGGGAAGCAAAATGGTTAAAATATAATCAAACAACCGTCTGGCCGTATGATCCCAACAAATGAGAGTCATCTTCATGACGCAATGACGAGTTCATTTCTAACGAATTAATGAGCGACAAACATTCGTCCCCATAGATAGCGCTGTGTTTTCATAGACGAGTGGTTGTATTCCTTGAACACACTCAATTAGTAATCTATCGGCACCGAATACTGGAGAGATAGATACTAAGTGGTGATTTTTCAACGATTTAGGTGAACCGGCCCCGTTCCGACGGAAGATCATACAAAACGCGTTTTCGCGCATCCTGGAATGACCTGTCAAAAGACTAAACACCTGAATAGGGGAACGAATAGAAGATGGACACCATGAAAACGAACTTAAAGCACCTCCAACAAAGACCGAATCTCAGAGAGATAATCATCCGTATTCATCGCCATTATCTTGTGAGAAATGACTTCATTCTCCTGCTATCCCTGCCGTGCTCAAGAATGATAGAAACGATCTTCAAAGTAAAACGAGCGACTCACTATCATTTTAAGTTGCATGAATATTATTCCTTTTCCCTTTCCTTGATGCCCAATGTGAATAGATTACAAGTATTTCGAGATTGATGTTCAAAGACACCGATCATCCTGATATGTATATGCAACTCTCCCTTGTCCGCTACAAGCCATCGAATGCAGCGTTCACGACAAATCTATTTGACGTTTGGTTATGAATTGATGCTCGGACGAACGTTAAAAGAACTTAGAACATGCTATCAGCTATAGAGTAACAAAACATTGAAAGAATTTGTTGTAGCGGCCACTCACCGAGACCCCGATTTAATGTACTTCAACACAACATGCTCGATTGAAAAGCCTTCAAAATATGTACTCTTGCAGATTTACAGATAGATGTTGTCACGGTAGATCTGGAATTATTATTATCTTGGAAGTTGTTTCGTCGAACGTGTACGAATGCGAGAATATAACGATTGGTTTACGGTGGTGTTTGAAAGGTTTCAATATCTTCAAAGTTGAAACTGAGGAAGAGCGATGGAAACTTGAACTACTTTCGGTCTTGTACGTGGGCGATTCTGAAGTCAAGCACGACAAACATCTATTAAGAAACAAAGTTAACACTCGCAACGATTTCAGAAGAAACACCTGCCAAGAATACTCAAAAACATCTCCCCCTTCTGTTCGTATTGCTTTCCTTCCTTTCCGTTTTGAGATAGAAAGACTGATACGTCGCTTGAACCATATGCTTTTCGAAAGCAACTCTGAAATTCACTTATGAAAGCGAAGGAGCGATAACGAGGCTATGGTCAGTCGGGTTTCCAAGTCGAGATGACCGTTAAAACTACAGAATTATCACCGTGGGACATACTATGATTGATTCTTTTCTTAATTCTTCGTTTACGCATTTACCTCTCAACTATGACTTCGATGTTTCGAACAATGGTATATCTGCCGGAGAGTCGCATTACAGTTATCAACTTACCTGATTAGCACATTTACAGCACAGAGCTTTGGAACACTAACAACATCTTTCAACCAAGCATCGAAGATGGAATAGCTACAACTGTTAGATAAAGGTATGAATACTACAATCTTCGAAGAGGATCTGTTTGGACTCACCTTCAACAACGACAGTCAATCTCCTGAATAATGCGTAAAATTAGGCCACAATATATCATTAGATAGATCAAGCTCCGTAACACCTTCGTCTACTTGACTTCGATCTGTATACAGCAGTTAGCATATGTTCAACAACATCGCTCCGAAACGAGATCCTATCACAACTACATCAGCTACGACTACAGGACTGAAATTCAGATCATCACTCCACCTTCAAAGACAACGGAATATACTTTAAGTATTGCGAAATTAGTCAATCATCTCTGTCATCGCATCGATCCACAACACACTTCTATTGCGTTTTCTTGTCACAAAGATTATCGTAGGGTGAGTCTTCTCTCACAGAAAGAAACGAATCAAGAAATGAAATCAATATGTTAGCTATCACTGCAAGTTAAAAGATCCGATCGCCATCGAACTACCCATCGCGAAACTATCCCATTGCTGTGATTACATCTACCCACAGAGTGAGCGGTAACTTCAAACGATGAATGGTCACTGATCATTCACCTTTCAATATTCAAAAATCAACTCCATTTGTGTTTGTACGGTAATGTTTATTAGATAACGCCTAGAATCAGAGACCGATTCATTTGTGCCGTGTCCTTCGACGAATTCAAGATCACTTCACCTCCATATGTTAATCTGTGTTCGGTAAGCACCTTTGCTATAATAAATGCAGTTTTACTATTTGATTAACAGATTAATACATCACCAACAACGTATTTCGTAGAATACTGCCCGTTACTGCAGTACGTTGTCAATATAGCCATCCGGCTGTTACGAACCTAAGTCTGCGTTGGATAAAACAAATTCACATGGTTTCGACTGACGAATTCAGCTCTAATGACGCACCAGTAATTCAGATTTGTGTTCTGAATCTGTGTGCCATATTCCATGTATCAGCTAGCGAACTAACAGATGACATAGATATATCACAACATAAGTTCAACGTTACCCGAATCTGGTTTTCAAAGCTTTCGCCGTATCGAAATCAGAAAGGAGCCTAGGTCTGCATCTGCAATATCCAATGACATTGGTCCGTATATAGCCAGGAGGCGACAATAGGCGAAGAAATTTGTTGCAACGATAACGAGAAACAAAAGAGGTGCGTTCCGATTGCGTAGGTGACTTGCATACTTAATGTTTGTATCATCGTTGCATGATCATGAAATTGCACAACGACTATTTGTTCGTTGGATATAGCAAAAAAAGAAAAAAAAAATCAACAGGTGAGTGAACTTCAACATGGAAATTTTGCGTACAACGTTTTCACTGAATCCACAGTCGAATCTGCTTCAAATTCGTTCTTAATCTTCCTTCCTTTCCTATGCCGTTGCTCCGTATCAATCTGCAATTACGCTTGTTGAAAATTCACTTGAATAATTGCATAAAGGAAATCAGACTAGATCGAGCTGCCATATGTTTGAATTCATCAACAAACTTCAGCACTAGAGTGGACATGAAACAAACTATGTTATCTGCTCATCTACGAGTGTGAAGGTCAGTATCCAACATTTCATACTAGTACAATTCACTCACGTAGTCTATCGGGATATCGCAGTTGCGAACCAATGAAAAAAAAAAGCGAAGGCGTTGCTTGCTGCTAGACCATGTACTGCACAGATAGCTTCGCATTAGTATGCAAGGCAAAAAAAAAGAAGACATATTTCAAATTTACAGCTGTAGTTATCACAAAAAAAAAAGAAAACTGCAGATGCAGCAAAATTGCTCTAAAACTGATTCGATATCAGATAGAATACATTTGCTTGGGATTAACGACTCACAACATCGCGATTCCAATGCTCAGATGAGTTCGGTTGTTATAATCGTTGTCGCCAAGTTAACAGTTCAAAGTACAGATGGATTTCTAAAACGGGTTCTCGTGCAGTGACCATCGAAGATGATGTTACAGAGTTACTACTAAATACGGCACCGGTCCTTCTCTGTCATTTACACCCACCATCTGAGTCTGCTATTTTCAAAGAAAACAGCAAGGTAGCACAGTTTAACATGAAACGAATCACGAAAACACGAAATATCTTGCATCCGGACCAGATAAAAATTCTTAATATGGTTCTAACCCAGGTACTTCGTCGTGTTCTTGTATCAGTCTACTACTCATCGTTCCATAGACTTCTTTACCCGGTAAACGAACTGTTGCACAATTATCGAACGACACTGGGATGTCACGTCCCCAGATAAAGGTGAGTACAGAAAAATCATGAAAACACTCATAGTCATCTATCTGAACTTCGTTGACTTTAGAACTGGTTTTATGTGAGATTTCTGAACGTAGTCCATCGTCATCATCACAAATAAATTTCGTTGAAGAATCAACGTCGAAGAATGCGTAGAAACCAATCAAAACAAGAGGAAACGATGACAGTAATTTCCAACAATCAATCGCTCGACGCCTCTGACAGAACTACTGCGACATTTTTCGAAGAACATCAATGTCCTCTCTCTCCGCCACCGTTGTCGAATTCTGAGCCGCAATTTCGTTTTCTTTTTCCACCACCTGGCAATCATCCTGTTGTCGAACATAAATTCTGTTTACCTCCCATCTCGGTTATGTTTCCCTATATTTTCAACGAAGATTACGATTATACTCTACCACCTCATGTTCGTCCAATCCTGTTATGAGTCTACTCACTTGTAACGGATATGGATATAACGAGTAATCGAGGTTATAGGAGCAGGCGCCGACGGAGGAGGGAGCTTCATCTTTTTAACTTCTACTACGACGACGCTTATCGCTACATCTACGAATGCTTGTACTACCCAGTGTCAATTATAAAACACTGTCTGGTTAACTCGTGGCTGAAGCCGGTGAGCGACGTTACACATTTTTTTAACTACAGATGTTGTCTACTGGGCAATTACTGACAAACCAAGGACTCGAAAGTAATTATACTCCTTCAGAACGAGGAAAAAGTTTGGGAACATCATGCACATCAAGCAACAGAGCTCGGAAGCACACAAGCAAACCGGGCACAACCGCAACGTCGACAACGACGAGGAAAAATTTTCATACTCGTGCAACGAGTAGAATCTTCGCGGAATACGCGAAACAACTTCTTTATTCGGAAAACCCTCCGAACTCTCCCAAATCATCCGTCGGCAGTATGGCCCACCCAAACCGAAAGACCTATCGAGCAACCAAGCTCATATATCACCCGGAGAATCAGCAAATGGGGCAGACAGTAACTCACCAGACCCTAGGATCCCGAGAGTATTGGAAGACAATCAATCCCCAGAGCAGAGTCAACTGGGAGAACCGATTGTCGGATATAATGAATTGCGACGAGATATGACGCGTCCGTTATCTACAAACTCACCTGCACAATGGAAAGGAAAGGCTCGAGCGACCTATAATGTAATTGATACATCGACTATCCCTAGACCAATCAATCCTGTTGACTTACCTATAGTGGGACCCATTGGTCTCAATCCTAAGCTAGGGGGTAGTAACCCCCAAACAGTACTGAGAGAGAAATTAACACCGGAGGATTCAGCATCACAGACTGGTCAAGCTCCCCTCTCACACGTATCTCAAGCAGGTCAGGCAAGTAGCCTGACCCGGACTAGGGAATACCAACAAAAGTTAAGGAGACAGGTTGCCCTAGAATTGCTACGACGTGAAGACTATAGTCTATGGCAACTTAGAGTGCTCGAACATACCTGAGCAAAGCTTGCTATTTGATGATGATTTTGGCTATAATATTGAAGAACCTAAATTCAGGATCAATTGGAGACTGATTACCGAGGAAGAATTCCCTGAACCTACAAAGAAAGGAGGAAAGCCCCAAACACATGATCACAGACACAAAAATCAGAGTCACCCACCACGAAAGGTGGCACAACCTCAAGCCAGACCGTCTCACGCTCGGCATATTCATGGAGGTAGACTATCCGCGCGAAATGTTCCATCACCGGTAGGTGATATTGGTCGAGACCACTCACCACCTCCACCGGATCCTCGAAACTTCGACTCAGGATCAAACCAGGGTCCTGCTAGAGGCGGGCCGCCAGGCGGCCCACCTAGAGGAAATGAGCCTGATGACAGTAGTCATGAAGGGTCTTGACGGAATGACAGAAACAAGAGTAAGACCCCAAAGAAAGGGGAACAACCTTACCAGCAAAACCGGTACATCTGTAAAACCTGGATTTTCGGCTAACAGCACTGTCCAACATTGAAAGCACTCCCAACAGTTAACTAGTACCCTTGCTCTCGCGAACATCCAGGTTTTGCAGATGTATGGATTGGAGGATCCTCACGCAAACATCAAAAAAATATTTGAGTATGATCCAACACCTCGTAGTGAGGAAGAGGTACTGCGAGCATTGTTTTACTGTTATGAGCAGTTGATTATGTTCTATCCGTATAGGCCACCAACAAACCTAACAACAGCAGCGCAGAAGGTAGTATTACAAAATGTGTCAAAACCTCGGAAATGGGGTGGTGACCAAGACTACATGGTATTTGATGAATGGCTAACGGAGATGATTCAATGGATGAATATTGCAGACCAATGTGGGCCACCTACCACGCATAGTAGCTCCAGGGGGACTCACATTCTCACATCTGTTGACTTGACAAGAACCAATACTGTTGCATCATTCCTTGAGGGAGAAGCACTACAGTGATACCATAATGATGTTCAGAGAGAGGGGGATGGGTTTTCAGATAACCCAGACCCATTAGCTTATTGGTGGACATTCATGCAAGTGGTGAACGGTCTTTAGCAGCGATTCATCTATAAGACTTCCATTTCACAAATCTCGCATCACTTACTCTAAAGCCAAAGGAGTGAAGAGCATGTTTAGTGAGTTGGAACAAAGAGCAACATGCATGCCCGTTCCTCCATGTTTATATACCTTCAAGAAACATATCCTCCTCCTTGTACCACCTGCCATGTGCGATGATATGACCCGGATTGAGAAAATTACTGCCAAACGGTCCTTCATTAATGAGATCATGCCATCCGCCATTTCCTGCAGGCGGGGTGACTGCACAGGGAAGTATTATACAAATGCATGCAGTGCTGTTGAACAAGGTCAGCGCGCCATGAAATCAGTCAATAAGGAGAGCATGTTGCCTTATGCCAGTGCTCTGGAAGAAAGCTCAATTACGGGGAAACAGATCTAGAACAATTGGCAATTACAATCACCAAAACGCCTACAAGTCATTGAGAAATGATGATACCAAATCCCTGATTATGAAGAGGAACATTGCGAGTGCCAGAAGCGTAAGGAAAAGGATAGTACCAATTCCAAGACACACTTCAGCTGAGAGCACTACAAGCCTAAAGGGGCATGCTTTGACTGTGGCAGTTTTGACCACTGCCGCAGCAGCCCATTTGCAAGAAACTCCAAAATGAACCAAGAGTAAAGGAGGCGTCAAAGCCTAAACTTTATTGGATTACTGAGGAGGTTCAAGAGAAGAGTGAACAGTTCTTCAGACTCGAGGAGGCATTAGATAATGAAACACCTCATACATTGGATAGTGACATATGGACACAGTATGAAAGTGATGGAGCTGAAGACATGAATCCGGAGGGTGGGTCTCAGCATGAGAGCGATGCAGCTGACAAAGAGTTTTTACCACTGAATGAAGCACCACAATCAAGTGATGAACCAAGCCCAGAACATATGGGACACATGCAAGATTGGGATACATTCACAGTGCACTGGCGCAACAAACTCGAAGAGCAATTTGGTGAATAGACTATGCATGAAGGATTGGATCACCCACAGACAAATGAGCCAGCGTCAGCCTCTGAGAGCGACATCTTCAATTTTGGGGAATACCTGTGATCAGTGGTACCCACCAATGATGAAGGATATCAAGCTACACTGAAACCAGCAGCAATCTCTGTTACCAAGAAAGGAAACTGACCAAGCCACAGCGCCAAACAAAATTGTTGCCTATGCTCCATGGTCAAGATTAATGGTGTACAGGCCTTTGTGATGGTCGATAGCGAAAGTACTGCCGATGCTCTGAGTCCGAATTTTGTTCAGATAACACATAGACAGCCCTTCGGGCTGGAAAATTCGCTAACACCGCAACTCAGTACAAAAGAGAGTTGATCACGTATTTCATAAGGGTGTACTGCACCACATCGATTATACAATGGGAACAATGGAGACATCCAAGACAAGGATTACTTCAATGTTGCTAACATTGATTGTTATGATGCTGTGCTTGGAACCATGTTCATGCGAAAGCATGGAATGGCCTTAGATTTCAAAAACAACACTATCAGATTGCATGGAAAACCAATCCCCACACTTACCGACGGTGAGGAGAACCGCGGAATCGCGCAGTGATATGCTACGACAGTATCCTCTACAATCCATCTCAAGGAAGGGGAAGAACTGCCTGTGAAACCTCAACCTAAGAAATATGGGATTACTGATGATGAGTGACTACCTAGAGAAGGAGCAGAGAAAGCAAACTCAGTAAAAGTATCACCACCATGATGTCGGTACACACCAACAATTGATGATCAAATTGACAAAGAAGATATCCAAGGTATTCCGAGATCCACTGTTCATTGTAATATCATTCTTAATGCAGAGATCAAGGCCTCTTGGAGGGTGTCAAACACTTCCTGCTGGGAGTCCATCCACATAAAGGATGTAAGACGTGGGTTAGAATAGGTCTTAAGGTAGGGTTTGGTATACAAAGGTTTATGTTGTAGTGTGCCAGGAGCAGGCTGGAGCTCAAAGGGAGCTACGGGAACCGCGACCGAGGACAGGAATGACCTAGTAGTGGCTGGGGCAAAGAGGTGGTGACCCTTGAGGGGGTTCCTAGGAGGTCCAGGGAGGTCCCTAAGGCGTAGGGAGGTTAGGTAGAAGTACCGAACCTTGTAATATTGCATAATAGGAGTTGTACTCGCTAGAACGTCAATATAGGATTCAAATAGGTCGTAGATGAAAATGGGTCTGGAGGTTGTAAGCTCCCAAGAAGGTATACGCCCGGAAACGGGGCTTGAGGATGGATGTCCTTGAGTGTTGGAGGTGGTAACGGAGAAGCGATACATGGTTCGACATGAGAGGTAGGCCTCAAAGTGAGGGGTTTCGGCTAGAGATTCTGGGTTCAGGAATTCAGCAATGGGGCTCTCTGTGTTAGCAGCAGTTAGGTGGGGGTATAAGATCTCCTCGTCTTGGACTTCTTCTATAGTTACTTGAGAGGGTTTCACTGAAAGTCGTCATTTCTCCCAATCAATCTCCGGATTTACCTTCCGTAACCAGGGGAGTCCAACGATAAGGGCTTCACCTCCTAGGTTGGTGATCAAGAAGTCCATCCATTGCTCCTGATTATCCACTGTGAGTGCTAGGTTTGCAAAATGGGTGATCCGTCCAGCTGGATTAGTTGTTTCATTGATATTAAAAACATCGACTGGTTTATGTAGGGGTTCCGGGTGGCAAAGTCTTTGTTAAGATCATGTACACCGTGTAACCGTGCCAGGGCCACAAGGTGTCTCAGGGCAGAGGTCGAATGGGACAGTAGTGAAGTTATTAACAACACTGCCGTTATGCTGTTAGTCCCCGGAGATCGAGAGTAGAGAAGGGAGGAACTGAGTAGCAGCCAAGTCAGAGTGGTGGTAATGCCAGTGACGAGGAGCGAACCAAAGAACGACTAAGTCCTAAGGTTGAGTAGAACGTGCTTCAAGGCGTTGAGCCTGGAGACTTTTAGGAGAGCTAAGTTGGAAGGGAGATCTAAGTTGATAATTAAACTGAGGAACTACAGTAGCGTACAGGCAGTATTTATATCTACGGAGCGGCGCATCGGTGCGGAGCGCTAGACTAACTACTAGGAGCTATACGAGTAATACTTGCAGGGAAGTAAAAGACAATAAGGAGGGACTAGAACGAAAGGGTATGTGTAGCGAGAAAGAACAATAAAAGTGAGATTACAATAAACGGTGGATCTTCGGTATACCGAGCGGCGGGATGGAGGCCCGAGGCATGGGCTTGACAGTCTTGGTTTTAAAACAGGGTGGTAGCTCCACAGTCTTTCATGGCTGCAGTTGTTATACCATGATTCCTTCCTCTTAGTCTCATATGAATTCGGAAATGTGGGAAAGTAGAGTTTAATTCCCGGATCGTCGATATTGTACATGATGGATGCAAGTCATAAGAAGAAGTAGTGAACATAACAAACTGATTACGAGGTATGCTCAGTGCAGCCAAGATGGATACCCTCTTTAAAAACCCTGTTAAAAACTGGAGAATGGAGGAAACATGGCATTGGCATAGTCTAGTAGTTCTTTTATTTGCCAATCTGGTTGCAGAAGTCTTGAATAGGAGAGCTTGTAGTAGCAAGCATGATAGCCACAGTGGATGCTAAAGTCGAAGCAGTGATGTAGAAGGATTCATTTGGGAATAACAGGAATGACACGGATCCCGTAGCTGATATCTGTTGACAGTGGGGTTGCTGTCGTCATCCTTGATCTTGTCCAAGTCCCATGAATTTGTCCTAGCAGACTGCTTCCAAATGCCCTCAGCATCCACAGTAACCACAGGTGGTTTCTTTGTATGGGCAGTTGTGCTTAATGTGACCTTAGACACCACAGCCAAAACATCATCCTCACATGCAGGCCAGGAAAGCCTCCCTCATATTCCCATTACTGGTGTGGGAGGCATCAACATCCATGGCATGAGGATCAGTAGGAGCCATATGGGAACGGGTAGGTCCGAGGTTTTGACTGGTCAGGGTAGGGTCATGCAAGTAGATATCCACTGATCCAGCTTGTGTAATGGCCTCCTTTGGGTCCAAGCAACTCCTTGACCAATGTTTATGGAGATCAGGTTCTGTCTTTCTCTGGAACTAGTGCAGAGTAGAAATGTTCCCTTAAATTGATGTCAGACATCTCAGTCCGACTTCCAATGTCCTGGAACTTCTGAGCAAATTCTGCTAGTGTCTGCCCTTTACTCTGCTTAAGGGATTTGATCACATTATGGGCTTCCATACCCAGGTCTATCAATTCAAATCACTAATGAAATTCTAGAAGAAACTTCTCCCAATTGCCTTCAAAACGGGAATTCTCCGCATTAAAATGTAGCAGGTGAGAAGTTGCCCAGTCTCCAGTGCCTTCTGTGAAGAAGCCCAAGACCGACTTGATAAGCTTTACCTGACTGTTGGCGAGATCAGGTTGTTCTCATGCCCAGTTCTGGAACTGAGCTCTCAAACGACGTGCTTCATTATTGTCTTTACCCTTGAATACCTCGGGTTTGTTTATGCTGGGTTTGGAGGATGAGCATTCCTCCATGGCTGTAGCAAACGTTGCTACTTGTTTAATGAGCTGAATCATGAGTTTATCTGCAGAGGTAGTCTGGGCAGGTGGGACAGGAGACGACATAGTAATAGTAGGCAATCGGGAGTGGGAAATTGGTACAAAGGTGGTGTCTTCTACAGTAATTGGGTTCTGAACTGAATTGGAGAGCACGTGGGGGCAAGGCTGAGAGTCACAGCCATACCAGCTATTGTCAATATTGTGGATGTGGTGCTGATTTCTGGGGTCAAGTGCGTGTTGGAGAGCATAACAGTCTGTTGTAGTAGTATGATCAGAAAGATTTACAGGTGTGGAAGACATAATGCATGTGGATCCTGCAAGGACAACCTTATTGGTAGGCTGTCAGTAATGGATCTTGACCTAATGTCACAAACCAGCGGAGGCGGTTTGACTTAGCAGAGCGATTGAGTAAACCAATAAGATGGAGAAACTTAAGTGGAGTGTTAGGCAGACTGGTCCAAAGATAATGACAGAGATATATTGAGTATCATAGTCATAAGTACTAGTAAATAGGCACATACCTGGTTCCAAGATAATGACAGAGATATATTGAGTATCATAGTCATAAGTACTAGTAAATAGGCACATACCTGGTCCCAAGATAATAATAGAGAGGACAAGATAAGGGACTAGACCTAGACAAAGGGGGGTTGACTTTATATACGTAGCCCAATCTGTGAGAAATGACAATGTAATGCTGTACAGTTTAGAAACAAGGAAGGTGGCGGAAGGCAGTAGAAGGACAAAGGTAACAGGGGGATCAGTAATCGGTGATGGGGGTCAGGTGGATCAGTAATCAATGGATTTGACAGTGACCTTTGCACACCATCTCTATTGTTCCGATCCCGCCACTGTCCTCCATTGTCACAGCCGTTAGATTGGTACCATCATTGAGGCGGTTGTTGCCTTTCTCTGACATGGTTTGAACTCTGACGACCCCGACGTCATTGCCCACAACTTCCGACTTGCTCTAGATTGCATGCAAACAGCCTGGGGTATTCACGGGAATCTCTATATGTGGTCCATCAGCAGCATTCAGCGGTTTTTCACCAATGCGGTGGATGAGAATGAGGGTCTCCATCGCCTGGTGTTAGAGCACCCCTGTTTTGACAACAATGGTCCTTTTCTGACCGCGACTCAGCATGCCGGTTTCACAGCCCCTCTCAAGGGATCAATGGAGCCACCCCTTGTACAGGTTGTGGTAGATAGGATTGATAGCACAGCATCGTCATAGATCATAGCTGTAATAAGTTCCAATCGTAAGAGCTCCCGATGGAGTGTAAGCCCGGGAGGGAGGTCCCGGGAAGTGAAGGTACAGGCTGACGTCCTCAAGCATTTGAGGTAGTAATGGAAAAGCGATATGTAGTTTAATGTAGGGGATAGCTTCGACATTACCTACATCAAGGTCCCTGAGCTCATGGAGCACTTGGGGACCTTGAGCAGGTTTGGGGAAGGTTGGCTCAACAAAATGATAGACGTTTGGGGAGCATTAGTATTAGTCGAGGGAGCTCAAAGACTCACTCAAATTGCTTATGCATGAGGTAAAAGCATGTATTGGATCATTTAGACGACCATAGAAACAAGATAGTAGTAGAGAAACAGAGATAAAGAAACAGAGAGTAACAGAAATCCGTATAGTTAGCAGGTACAAAGGGACAGGGACCAGACCTATGCAAAAGGGTGTGTGTTCAAAATATAAGAAGCAAGCATCCAAAGCGGATGGTGTGCGGCGCGGAATCTATGAGGCTGAGTTGATAGATTGTTAACAGTGTATATGGGGTGCCATCCCGGTTATGGCAAGTCTAAGGGAGGTTCGTTAAGAGTTATGGGAAATCTGTGGGAGGATGGAAGGAAGAGTTATGGGAGGTCCGTCGGAGGATGGGAGGTTCGTTAAGACAATTGAAACGACTGATTTACGTAGTTCCAGCAGTGTAAGGAAGGGAGCTCTACCAACAGGGCATGACACCTAAGGTCAGAGATTTTGTTTGTGACTACATTACTTCCTGCACCATCTGTAGTTGCAATAAGCCTCGGTGCCACCAGCCCTATCTATGGCTTGTTGAATCCTCTGCCAGTTCCGGTCCGACCATGGACTTCATTGAACAACTGCCAATGTCAAATGGTTATACAGCTATTCTAGTCATCATTGATTGATCTTCCAAGCAAGCAATTTTTATTCCAACTTTGGACACTATTACTTCTGAACAACTAGCTGAGCTCTTTGTTATTCATGTCTTCTCTAAGCATGGTGTTCCTAATCATGTTACTTCTGATCGTGGCTCTAAATTTGTCTCAGTATTTTTCCGGGCCCTTGGCAAAGCACTCTCCATAGAACTTAGGGGGGTTATAGTCACACACTTTGTTGATAACCTCGATGAACTCTATGACTTCCTTTGAGAGGAAATCCTTCTAGCTTGATCTCATTACAAGGAACAAGCTGATAGGAAAAGAATCTCACACCCGCAGTTCCCGATTTGCTCCAAAGTATTTGTTCTTGCTAAGCATATTCAATCTACTCGTCCTACTGAAAAATTCTGTGAAAAATATCTTGATCCTTTCAAGGTCATCAGTCAACCTGGTACTTTGTCTTACAAGCTTAAGCTCCCAGACCATCTCCATCGAATCCATCCAGTTTTCCACGTCTCAAAGCTGGAGCCGGTTATGCTGAGCCCATTTTCAAATCATACTCAATCTCCTCCACTTCCAATCAAAGTTGATGGTGAAGAAGAATACAACATTGCCGAAATCCTGGACTCCAAACTGGATAGAATATATAAACATTGTCCTCTATGTTATTACATTTGGAGGGCCAGTTACAAAGGTACTGACAATGAGCTCTCCTGAGTTCCTGCTGACAAATTGGTACCAGCATTCCATGCTCGATACTCTCACAAGCCTGGACCGTGATCACAAAAAACATTTTATTCTTTTTTCCGAAATTCCGTTCTCCACCGAAGTTTACTTTATTGCGTTGAGAGGGTAAACACAACGATAGCAAATTGAGTGTTTATCCTCTCCCTTATATTGTTTACTTCTTCTCTATATTTGTTTTCTTTTACTCTTCATTACTGAATACTTGTTTCCCTTATCTTTCTCTTATACTTGAACTACTGATACTCATACTAATTTTCTTCTTTTGCCGCTTTGAGGCCCGTTTGCTTTCAGTTTCAAAATGCAATAACATTATCGGGATCTCTCAATTTCAAAACTCACTTCAGCCACAATCTATAACAATGCTGTGCTGTTGATCCTATCTACCACAACCTGTACTACGTAACCATCCAATGCTCCCTAGTTCCTAGTAACCTTTAGCCCCTGTTAACAGCCTGCAGACCTTCCAGGACCTCCTAGGAACCTCTTCAAAGATCAACCCTTTCAATCTGAACTACTCTTAGGCTATTTTTGTCCTCGGTTGCGGTTCCCGTAGCTCTCTTCGAGCTCCAGCTTGCTCTTAGCACCCTGCAACATAAAACCCTTATACCAAAACCTACCCTAAGACCAATTCTGACCCAGGTCTTACAGTACAGCCTCATCCAGAAAAACCATAGTTAGCAATTACATATTCTGCAACCAGTTCATGTAAATTAATCTGTTTGTTATGAAAATTTGAACCTGCTTAGTGTGGAGAATTTCTTGCCACTGTTCTACTCATTTGCAAAAAAAAAAAATATTTTTAAGTAATAATCTGAGAGCAGCTGAGAGCACTTCCCAACAGACCCAGAGCAAGTTGAATATCTTACTTTTGGTGCTGGAGAGCGCTCTCCAGCAACGAAAGCACCCAAAGCAAAAATCAAAGCCTGCTCTGGGTGCTTTCACTGCTGGGAAGTGCTCCCATGTGCTCTGAGCTGCTTTCAGCTATTTAGCTGAACATACAGGTTTTGCAGATAATAAAACTTATTGAAAACATCATAAGTATTATACTAGTAGCACTATGTATCTCAGAAGAATGTTTTGTCTATTTTACCTGTAGGATAGGATAGAATAGGATAGTCAAATTAAGTGTACTAGGTAAGTTTGATTCCCAAACAACTACATTACCACACCACACATTTTCTACTTAAACTACTACAGGAGAAAGATTAACACACTGTGAAATTTTGGAGATCAATCAATTGAGCTATTCTAACACCCTCACTGAGGTTTGCTTTGATGATTTTAGTTGTGCAAAAAGTCAAGATCATGGTGGTTATTGCCGGACATTTAGGTAAGACTCCTTACTAAAATTTTCCATTCATTTTGTAAGGGGGAAGTTGAGCTTGGCCATCTCTCATGGTCATGTGTTAGTAACAATTATTACTTTATGTTGGTGTAAAGAACATCATTCAAGGTATTGCTCCTGAATCTGCATCTGCATAGAGAATTCCAGTAATAGAGGCCCAGTGTTAAGCACAGAAAAAAATGTAACTAAGCTGAGTTTGTCAAATGGTGTTTCAGGCACGTTGGTTCCAATAACCTATGAAATACTCATGAAGATAAATATCATGCAATGTCAGCCACTGTGAATTTTTCCAGACACAAGTGCAAAGATCTAATTCATTCAAATTGTGTCAATCTGAAACCAATTACTCAAAGCTTTCAATTTTGTCTGCCAAAAACTCAAAAACTTTTATCCAGCAATTCAAAAGCTGTTTCCTGTCTTTGCCTTGACTTCACGTAATGCCTAACGCCATTCAATAAGTGCAGCTTGCATAGATTTCACCACTTGCCATTCAGTTCAAGTGCATATGTGATACTTTCTTGTGTTTGCTGACTAAAAGGTCCACATATATTATGGCCATTCAGATTAAGAATAACATTTCTGAGTCAGAAGAATTGAGACCTAAGTTGAAGACAACTGAGAATGTGGCAATGAAAACAGTGCAGACTGCAAGAAGTGACTTGTCATGGTATTATAGTTTCCAGCTCAGTCCAAGTAGTTTCAACAGCTACATCCTAGCTAAGGGTCTGAAAGCAATTGAGAGCATTTCCCAGCAGTGAAAGCACTAGGATATACTCTCAGCCCTTAGCCATGCTTTGCTGATGTAGCAGATAGGTAATTGAAAGTGTTCGGCACCTGCCGCTTGCGGCCTTTCCCCCAGTCATAGCTATTTAGTTGTAATATTAAAATGTTCGGCCGTTGCCGCATGCAGCCTTACCCCCCAGTCACGAACATTCTACAATCTTCTACAGTCATTCTACGGCATCTAAAGCCGCTACGAGATGCCGTACACTCGGCTGAGCTTTGGGGTGATCTCATCGTAGAAGAATCCTTAGAGACTTTCACGTGGCAACATAAGTACTCGCGATCTGATTCTCAATCGAAATCTATTATCGGAACATGAAAAGGAAGGTTTTTATTCTAAAACTGCTCAAAAATCGACCAGGACAATAAACAAGCCAAGAGCCCCAATTTCAAAACTACATTTCCGCCTACTCATATATTCCGGTTATGGAAATTCAAACCTGAAAGATCTCTATCCAAGTTTAACAACTTAAATGCTAATTTCCTAGTGACACTAATTACGAGGTTTCAGCATGCTCTGCTCACGTTTGTCAATGTATCTTGTTAGCGAAATATCAAGATGTCAAGCTCGTTGAATGTAGATTCGTTCACCTTAAATCTTTGCAAAACCGTTGAAGTGGTCGGTACCTCTTTGCGACGCAATGTGACGACAATGTAAGTCAGTTTTTACATGCATATTCTATCTACTTCTTTTTGGATACTCTGAATGATTGGAATGAGCCAAAGTAGGTAATCAGACCACGCAAAATTCACACAAATTAGACGAAATTCGTATTAATGTACTTTATCATGTAACACCTTACAAAGTGACCTCCGCCTTTTGGGCAATAACGCGCTTCGCGGGCAACACTTAAAGCACGCCATTGATTTTCAGCTTTCTTTCGACTTCTTCCATCTGAACACCACACTAAAAATCATCTTCCGTTCTTTCGTCGTCTTCATTGGCTTTATTCTATTGCTTGCTGAATATGGATTTGTCAGGACTTTCAAAGAAAAGGTGATCCAGCAATTTTCGTACTCCTACTCAACGTTCACAATTCAACCCTAGATTTGGCGCAATTTTTATTGGACTATCGATAGCCGGATTTCTGCTTGGATGTCTGTATTGACATCAGTCGCTTCTGAAAGATAATTTGCTCATCGACCATAGTATGTTCACTGCAGACGTGGTCCTATTTTACTCGGCGAACGGATAGCAGAATTGTTCGATGCCTAGTAAGTACTACCGGTCTTGTAATCATATCGTTGTAGCTTCAACTTTCAATGTTGTAGGTCGGACTAGTTCTGCTCTTCAATTTGGTCCACCAAATAGTAATCACCAATAACGGTAAAAAAAAATACCTCAACAATTGCCATCTCACTAACGACGTTGGTGAAGTATATCACAATCTAATCCTCAATTACTCCGATTCAATCGTAGCGGCCTCTACCATTTGGTATGTTCATTAATTCTATCGGTGCAAACCATCGCAAAAGTCTGGTCGATGAACCGTTTGTAGGAGCTCAGCGGTAATTCCTTCGCAATTAAATTGCTTCTGAGATTTTAACTATACCGAACTTAGATTGAAACCCTCTTCAACGTACGTTTTGCTAAAAAAAAAAAATCTTCCTTGCAATAAGCCTTACTATGACGGACAGGGTTTAATTGCGCTATGCGTTCAAAGGTGAATAAAATTTTACATTTCCACAAGCGGCTTTTCTTACCTCGCATAGTTTCTGGACATGGCGAATTTGGCGACGTAAGTGTCCCGATTGGTCGAGTGACAATGAACGACATTGATATGAAGAGGATAGTTACGGATAAGAATTTGTTATGTACGGGCTTAGTGGTACGTCTTACAAACAATTATCCCTCCGCATTCTGTTGAACATAATGAAACTCAATAGGCTACGTTGGTTGTTGGAGAATTTGGTATCTCTATCTGTCCTTTCTTGTTGTCTTTGGTTGCAGCTAAAAAGATGAATTCGATCTATCCAGGCTCCGTTATTGGTGATCATTCATACCATCGACACTGCTCCTTAACTGACGAATTCTCGCAAAGCGTTCATAGCAGTTGTGTTGGTGCTTTGATTATATAACATCTCCTGTCTTTGCTCATTGCATTCGTAGATTGATTCATATTCAACCTCTCTTCGAATTCCAAACACATCTCAAGGTGGGAACGATTGCGGTTCAAACACAGTTATTGATTACTACATGTCTGTAGACGACTGTAATCGTGATGAATTCACTCTCAGTTGTTACCAACATCGCCATCGCCCTCATGTTCTCACTCTATTTCCAAAGATTTAAGAACGGATTCAAAAGGTAATTCGCTCTGAATCTCTTCTCATTTGCGTCGTTCATCAACCCTTCTGGTAAAGAACTACCACTATACTCAACAAACTGGTCAGCATCAATGGGTCTATATCTGCGTCATCGTCATCGAAATTTACACAGAACACTGATGTATTAGATTTTACTCGCTGTGAACACTGGCTTTCTTACGACGTCAGTTTTAATTCACACCCTCGATTGAAACGTATTCTCATCACTCATATGACAGTTCCTGTGCTATATCTTCCCTTGTCACCGTAGGTTCAAACTATTTTGTTTTGTTCTCCGGTTATTAAGCATCCTCAAGATTTTGATAGCTCCAGAAACTGTAGTATATGTCCCGTTCTTTTTTTGCATCGGACGCGGTTTGTTAGAACTTACCGTCATGATAAAGACATTCATAAACTCTTTAGTTCATACCATAACATTGCTGACTACGCTGAACGCCCGAGAAATGATTCGACAGTCTGATGATAATATGGAGACAAACCCCGCACGCAAATCTCCCCTTGTCTTTCGACCATCTGGTGTCTTGAATTCTTCTGGACAGAATACCGTAAAGGTCTGCATATATGTAATTCCACCTACTCCTGTAACTCATCAATAACAGGAGCAACGCAGGGATGGTTCAATCCGGACAATCAACCATGGAAACGACATGCACCACCACACATATTGTCATTCGTTCCAACCAGGAGACAATGTGTATGAGCTTCAGGACTTATCCAGAACCAATTTTCATTCAACGGTAAATATCAATTCATGCTCAAAATTGGTTGCAACTGAACAACCTTCCCCAGCTTACCAATTCTACCTCCGCTGTGAATATGCCTGTCTTCCCCCGCAACGTACATTTGGACAACGTTGTCTGATTTTGACCAAAAAAGATTTCTGACGATATCCGTCAAAGTTTTGGTATTTTGTGCATCCTCTTGACTCCTGCGTATCCAATAAATCACCCTCACCTTGTATATCGCTGTTGAATACAGTTTGTGTAAATAAATACAATCGACCAATGTGAGTTGATACGACTGTACGGTAACAAACCTTCCGTTACCTCTACTTACAGATCGAAGAATGAACAACAAAGGGTCATCCCTATTCAACGTAGCTTTATCCACCAGGCGGTTTCCTTCAAAACTAACACGTCTGACGCAACGCCTCTATCGATTACACCTCAATACAAAATATGTATGCATATCGTCTTCTACCTTCGACATAAGCAACATGTACGATCACCACAACTCAAACAAATCATACACCAAGTTTTAGTCCAATCGAGAATAACAAAATGAAAACATCGAGAAACGAAAAAAAAAAACCTTACGGTGAATCTACCTGACACCGCTGTTCGACTTTTTCTCCAATCAACTCGAACACATCTCGCAAGGTACCTCATTCACAAACGAATTTGCGTCCCCGAGCTGAACACTTCCTTGCTGAAGGTGTGAACGAGTTGCAATAGAGTCCCCAATTTCAACCTCATTCGCTCCATTCGAATCATCTGCATTACGAACAGATGCAATCAACGAAGCATCAGTAGGCATCGAGGACGTATACGACCTCTGCGTCGACGAGGCTAAATCCGTGGACGTAAAAGAACACCCGTCAGCTTGTGTGGACGAAATCGCGGCAGTTTCGGTGACTGTAGAATTTACAACGTTATTGAACCCGAAAACAGATCGACGATTCTTCATCTCCTTCGATATCACATTATCAACAGTGATCTGAATAGGCCGTGCAGCTGATCTTGTTCTCAGATAATACATTCCAGTTTTCAAGCCTTTTCTCCATCCATAAAAATGCATACTTGTTAGCTGACCCATAGATGGAGAGGCAAGATGAATATTCAAACTCTGACTTTGGCAGATGAACGCGCCACGATCCACGGCAAGGTCCAAAATCGTTTTTTGAGAAATTTCCCAAACCGTTTTATAAACAGACTTGACGTTGTCAGGGATAGCTGGTATGTTCTGAACTGAACCGTGGTCCGCCATCAGCATCATTTTCGTTTGGTCGTTCCAAAGACCTAAATCAACCAAATCTTTTACCAGCCAAGGACAAACGATTTGGAATTCGCCTGCAAGAACGCGACGGGTATACACATTGCTGAAAGGTAATCAGCAACTACATCGAAAATCATACATCACGCTTGCCTAGTGTAAGGTTCGAAACATTCATTGAAGCCAAGTATCTGACTCGTAGACGCAGTAGGCATCGGTGCAACAAGCAACGAGTTTCTCATGCCATGTTTTGAGATATTATCCTTTAATACACTCCAATCCCACAAATCTGTAGGGCATACGCCCCACAAATCGAACTGCAACTTACCCTGCTGAGCAGGACTACCTCTCCAAGTCGCGTAAGGACCATCCGTCATTGCGATCTCGCAACTTGCCTCGCATGCTCCGTGGTATATTGTTTCGAATATACTGACATTCAACTGTTTTGCTTCCGTAGAGTCAAACGCCATTTTCAACGCCATAAAGGTATCTGCCAACCCCTGAACTCCGATGCCAATAGGACGATTACGCGTGTTTGATTGACGAGCCTCGACAAGAGGATAAAAATTACGATCGATTATACGATTCAGGTTGAAGGTAACTGTCTTCGTGACATTGTGCAACTTGTGAAAATCATATTTAGAATTACCAGACGCATTCTTGATAATGAAGGCAGGTAGAGCAAGGGATGCGAGATTGCAAACAGCAACTTCATTCGCAGACGAGTACTGCACTATTTCAGTGCAAAGATTTGATGATTTAATCACACCGAGATTTTTCTGGTTAGACTTGGCTAAACAACAATTCAACAAAAGGTATAACAGAAACAAAACGAAGATGCGTACCATTACAAGCATCTTTATAGAGTATAAAAGGAGTCCCTGTCTCTATTTGAGCTTCCAATATATGATTCCACAACTTCTGTGCAGAAATGTTTTTTCGAGCTCGACCTTCTCGTTCATAGCGTTCATAAAGAATTTGGAATTCGGCTCCGTAAACATCACAAAGTCCTGGGGCTTCTCTAGGACAAAAAAGAGCCCAATCGCCATCTGCTTCAACCCGCTGCATACTATGAAATCTTTTAGATGAATGAGAATTATACATCGGTGGAAAAAGATCATACAACAAGTCTGGAACCCACAACGCATAGAACAAATCACGAGCCCGTAGTTCCTCTTTTCCATGGTTTTTCCGCAGATCGATAATCTCGAAAATGTCCGCATGCCAAGGTTCTATATAAATTGCAAATGAACCCGGGCGTTTGTTACCACCCTGATCTACATATCGTGCCGTAGCGTTAAAGACCTGAAGCATTGGCACTATCCCATTGGAATAACCATTCGTGCCGCTGATATACGAACTGAAAACAAAGTGAATTTTCAAGCAGGAAAATAAAAATAAATTAAATTAAAAAAAATCCAACATACCCACTAGCCCGAACATCGTGTATACTAAGTCCTATACCACCAGCTGTTTTACTAATCAAGGCGCAGTTTTTCAACGTCTCGAATATTCCTTCAATAGAATCTTCTTTCATGCAGACCAAAAAACACGATGACATTTGGGGCGAAGGAGTACCTGCACTGAAAAGCGTCGGAGTTGCATGAGTGAAATATCGCTCGGACATAAGGTTGTACGTCTGCAACACATGCTCAATATCATCTCCATGTATTCCGACAGCAACACGCATTAGCATATGTTGCGGACGCTCAACAATACGTCCGTTCAACCTAAGCAGATAAGATCGTTCCAACGTTTTGAAACCAAAGCTGCCTTCAATGTCATTCACTTCGATATGACTTAATAATAGTCGATAACGCACTAATTGTATGTGAAATCCCGACTATAGATAATGGCAGAGTCAAGAGTTTCCTTGTGTGCCATCACCGTCCGATAGCTGACTTCGGATATCATCGCCGCTGGCTCTCCAGTGGTTGGATTGACGTAATTGTACAGGTCGTTGATCACATCGGAAAACTTCTTTTCAGTTATTTTATGCAAGTTTGAAACAGCAATTCTAGCTGCTAGGATAGCATAATCGGGATGATGGATTGTGAGATATGCGGCAGTTTCCGCGGCCAGAACCTTTCAAAAGAAAACACTTTGAAATTGTCCAGCAAAGAGGAAAAAATCTCAACACCGACATCTAATTCGACCGTGGTTACAGTTTGACAGATACCTTGCATGACTTTTTTCGCGATTCTAAAACACGTTGATGTATTGACAATCAGACATTCAAAAAAAAAGAAAAACATACTGGATTGGGTGAACAAATCTCATATCAAGACCATAGCATAATCTGTTGATCCGGGACAGTAACTATACCGCACTAAAATAAACATGACTGTTTAACTTTGATTCAAATTAGCGCGAACCTTGTCGAACTGAATCATCTCTTCTCGCCTGTAATGTGGACAAAGTGAACAACTGCTGAATACTCCTCCACGAACTATTCTCTTACCCGTCTATTTTTGGAAATTCAAGCTTTTCAGTCGAATTGTAAACAAACATGCCACAACCACACAAACCTCGTTTCATAACGTACTGGAATTCCATTCTTTCTCTGGAACTTTGAAGAATTACCCAACAGACTTTTTTTCGATCCTTTAAATATACGAAAATCACGATGTAGACAAGGTCACGAGGAGACAATAAGCGCTTAAAGTTGTTACTCCATAACAGAAATCAATTTCCTAACCGAGACGATGAACCTTAGCTATCCTCAATTGGGCCGCGGTATAGTTCGTTCTTGAATAGGATCATATTACCTTTTCTGTAAATGGTAGATACCTTACATTTCTTCAATTGGACCGTACTAACTTACCATCTTCATTCATCATCCGTTTTGGTCCAGTTTGAAAACATCGGCATATCCTTTCAAATAAAGCAAGCAGACCGTATTTCAATTCAACCTTTGTTAACGTTACTCAAACGACTATTCTGACGTTCCATTCTGACAGAGAATATACCCCAAAAGAAACGCAATCCAAAAGTTATTTCATTAGAGCTTATTAGCAACCCACTGCAAATTCACTCTACACGGCAAAGATTCCCGATCCTCTTAAAAAGGCAGCAGCTCCACTCACTAAGAAAAGGATATGGAGAGTTCCACCTGTTCAATTTTCGAGTGTACAGTATCCTTGGCAGTTTTCTGTCTAAAAAAGGTAGTTTGCTGTACGTTCCTAATAAGCTCTATTACGATTGAATTCCCATCAATCTGTTAACCTATATCTAATCAAAATTCACGATTCACTCTCGAAAAGGTTGTTGACATCGCACCTCTATATACTTTTTTAGCAACTTCTAAATCAATCGACAACGCATACTTCTGACAAAAAAAAAGGTACAACACCATTCACAATTGCTCTGATCAATTTTCCGATGCAGAACAAAAAACGACCACTTATCCGATATGAAATTCACAAACGTCCTATAAAAAACCATCGGTTGATATCGAGGGCAATTCCTCACCGAGAAGTAATACTCGATGGCCGACTATTCTACTACACATCTGGTGTTACAAAGCACACCTTCCTTCGATGTTCATGATCGTACTGATGAAACAAACGCACACCCATCGAACAACCGCGACACCTCTGCACACAACTCTCCAAACTGCAGACCGCGTTACTCATATAAAACACTTGTCCGGTAAAGATACCTCTGATCAATGAACTTCGTCAAGTACTAATTCCAATGACAGTTGCGCAATCCACAACTCACCCGATCAAAAATTACAACTTCACCAAATCTATCACTTCATTGAGCGTACAGTCTGTACAATTTTCGCATTTTTTCTTGTGACTACTTAATTATATGTTCTTTGCAGTTCCCTTACTATAAGAATGCACCGAATGGTTGGAAAGTGAGTGCTTACATATCAAAAATTCTGCAACCTTTGACCAACCCGATCACGTTGACGTTGAATACGACGCATCGACTGTAACCGATATGCCTCTCTATTTCTTGTCTCGGATTTAAACAATTACCAATATCTAATGAACCATGAATCCTCGTAGAATTCGTTACGACGTACTCTGTCGATAAATCCATGCTTCGTGAAAGTACCTCGACCACACTATCAACCCGGTAAAGGATGTTACTGGACTGTTGTTGATAACGAAGCTTGTCACAACATTCACGTCATACCGAAAACGAATGAAAAATCTCCAAAAACAATCCAATATGATTTGAAAACACACAACCTGGATAACGACCTCCCAAGTGCAAACACATAACATATGATCTTACCTGATGCAACAGAATCCATCAGTCAAAAAAACCTTCAGGAAACATCACCGTACGTTCAAACTCAGTTTTAAGTATCATATCTTAATGACCGAATGATTTAGTTGTATAAAATCGCCTTATTGGAATGGAGCACCTTCGAAACCGAATAGACCAGTTACAACATGCCAAGGTACATGTATCTTCACATTCCTACGTCGAAACATCACTATACCCTACATCGAGTTCCAGAGTCGTGCCTCTGAATTTTGTTCCACCAGATCATATCGTTGACATTTTTCTTTCAATCAATCAACCTCCACCACAGGATTGTCATTAATTTTGGTTACAAATTCAACATAACGATACCCATATGTTTCGTCCTTCATTTCTCATCAAATACAATTGCTATCATTGTTTTACTTACAATTCGGAATTGTACATATACCAAATATCAATTTTTCCATCGGTTCATGCCTGATGTTTAAGATTGTAGCTAGCCCCACTAACGTCCATTCTCAATCACTCTCTGGATGATGAACCCTTCGATGTGGTAAAAAACCAAGTATCACACAACTGCGAGTTCCACATTGATCTTCCTGAATGTGAGTTTCTGCCGAAACACTTGTTAAGATAAATACATGATAAATATGTGAGCATGCAACAAAGCACTATTTACTGTAATTCAAGACTAAGAACTTTTCAGAGTCGGGGATTGCCGTGCTTGCGCGGCACTAAAGATCAATTGCGGAACCAGAGGCGGGTCGGAAATCGCTGAACTGATGGCCGACTTGCTGCCGGCAGCGGCAGACCTGCCTGCTCCAAAAGTGACTCATCGCCAACTCCTTATCTTATCCTATAACAAGCAGTCAGACCATTGACTCATCCCTACCTAAATGCCTTTCCGACGAACCTCCCCAATGTCCAACGACAACCGACTCCCCGTCTCCGACGACATCATCGACCGAATCCTATTATTCTCTCCAACATTCACCTCTCTCCAAGCCACCATCCTGACCTGCAAATCCTTCTACCACGTATTCCAGACACACCCAAAGTCCATCGTGCGGGCTGTGGCGTCGAACATCACTGGTCCGGCGCTGCCACAGGCGTTGGAGTGTATTCGGCATCCTGATATCGCGAAGTGCTCGTATAGGTTTAGACCTCCCACTCACTGGGGAGAGTCGGACGAGGAAGATGAAGATGAAGAGGATGGTGGTGGTGGTGGTGGTGGTTCGGAACATTCCTCGGATGATGATGATGATGACGACGACGACGATAGCGCGCGCGCGAAGAGGCTTGAGAGTGTGGTGCAAGAAGCAAATGAACAAAGGTCTAGATCTGAAGAGAACAATACACGCCCAGTGGGGGATGATACAGGAGATATTCAATCAGCTCCCATCACGATTGAAGAAACCTACAAGATCCTAGCGAATGCCAAAGTCGTAGCACGCTTGGAAGATCTATTCAGCTTCAGGCAAGTCAATATCCTCACCTGGGGTGTAGTAAATTCAACCAACCAACCAACCCCCCCTTTCCTCCTTTCGCTAGATACATCAACCGCTCCTTCTCCACCAGCCAACTCTCCGCAACAGAATCGCGAGACTTCCGCGTAGCCGTGTATCATTTCATGCTCTACAGTTCCATATTCCACCCTGGGACATGGAACCTCAGTTCCGACTCGGAAGACAACGACGACGACGACAACTACAACGCCAATCGCAATACCGCGAAGGCTGTAAAAAACCGAGAGATGTTAGAGAAACGAAAACAATTCCTCTCGAGGTTCTCTACCCCCGATCTGCTCCAAATGCATAGTGTGGCGGAATTTCTTAAAGAGATCCTATCTTGGTGTGTACGCGCAAGTGGTTATCCCCCTGGTACGTATCGCCGACGCTTTTCAGCGGTTCCTCCTAAAACCCCCCTTTCGACCTCATTTCATTTAATTTCATTTCATTCTCATTTAATTTTTCAACAGAAATCTGCGACATCGCACTCGCCGCCGGCCCCGCCCGCATCATCCAATGCTACAACAACCAAAACGAGGGACTCGCCCCATTAGAAGACATCCTCGATTTCTTCGAAGAGGAACTAGAATTCCACCCCATGGTCGCTGGGTATCTTTCCCTTCCCCTCGAAAAGAACCTCGAAACGCGGGGTATCAAACCCCCACCGTCGGATTTCACGCATTGGTATTCGATCTCGGGTCGTGCGGAGGAGAGTAATTCACAATGTCAGTTTTTGTTTCTTTTTCTTTTTTTTTTTCTTTGACGCGAAGTGGATGATGTTAATTGGGAAGGTTTTCTTTATCAACAGGTACTCGATGTCACCGTTCATTCGACTTTGAGCTCTTCACCAGAAGCAGTGCGTCCCTTCCTTCCTTCCTTCTCCCAATCCATATTTTTCATCCCATCACCATATCCCAGCCTTCACCGAACTCGCCACCTCCTCCTCCACCACCTCCTCCTCCACCACCACCACCACCTCTCCCTTCCCCCGCCTCCTCGATACAACCCCCAACTCTCCCTACAAACCCCAAACCATCCCTACATTCCTCAAAAACGCCCTCCGGCACAACACCCCCGAATCACAGTGCCTCCGCGCAGAAGGCACAAAACACGGTCGGGGGCTGCTGTTGCGGATTTGGGATGATCTGTGGACGTGGGGTTTGGTTAGACAGGAAACACCGTCCGTGGGACAGTATGATGGGGTAGGCACGGTGACGGCAGCGGCGATGGCGACGATAGCGGGGGCGATGGGGACCGCGACGACGATGGGGATGGCGGGGGCGACGATGGCGGGGGCGGGGGTGTTGCCGGATTGGAGAGAAGATGATTGTTTGTGTCAGAGTTGTTTCAAGAGTTTTCTGATAGAGAATCTATGGGTGTGGTTACGACAAGTAAAGGCTAATTGTATGTGTCCTTTTTCTCGTCTTATCCTATCCTATCCCATCCTATCCCTTTCTGTCCCTTTCTAATTTCTCTAAATCATCATTATCATCTCAGCTGCTCCACTAGCTGAAAACTGTTGGTACGTTCATGCATAATTCTAAATTCCATACATCCAATGGATCGACTGACCGAACCAAAACAAACCACTCACCTCACACTACAGGTACGGGTACAACTGTCGCACACAAACACATAATCTCGCACATGCGCAAAAGTTGAACGTACGTCGTTGGGTAAACATATATCCTTGTTGGGACCGGTTGCTGATTCATGATTGATAACTTTTTTTTCGTGCATTTTGTCTTTTGCCATTTGGTCGTGGTTCTGGTTTTGACTTTGGTTTTGATCTTGGGTAATCGTTAATGCAGCATTTGTGCGAACAAACGCGATTTTAAACCTCTTTGTGTCGGTATTGGGTGTTAAGCGTATACATACACATACCCAGCACATACACATACACATACATACACATACATACGATACTCATCCTCCAAATCTTCCTGTACTCGTACCCATCATCATGAATCATCATCATCATGACTCTACAGCAATACATATCTATCTTGCATATACACCTCGCAGTAGCACCTCCTTATGAGATATCGATATCCCGGAACCCTCCGGAACCTGGGTAGGTGAGATTTCGAGAGGAGGGTACTTTCGATAGGGTAAAATAGAATGTAATGAATACAATGTAATGAATAGAATACAATGAATGGAATACAATGAATGGAATAAATGGAATAAATGGAATAAAAGGAACGACTTGGAGACTCTTGCGCCGGTTCCGATTCTGTCCCTAATTATACACTCGAGTATCCGTTCTCTTGAATGAGTTGAGTATACGAATACGAGTATGAGTGTGGATGTGCTGGGTGTGGATGTGTTGGGTGTTGAGTATTAACGTTGAGTGATGGGTGTAGGGTGTTGGGTTTTGGGTACCGGGTATCGAGTTGTGTGTATCTACAACAATGCTAAAGCTAAAAAGATTTCTACGAGTTCTTCTGTGATGCATCATCTTTTCCCTCCTTGCCTTGCTCCTTGCCCTCTTTCCCTATCTCCTTGCCCTCCGTCCGCTCCTCCTTCCCTTCTTTCCGCTCCTCCTTGCCCTCCTCCTTTAACACCCCCAACTCCCTCTCCAACTCCCCCACCCTCCCCTCCAGCACCCCCAACCGCTCATCCACACCCCCCCTCCTCTTCGTCTCATTCCTCGCACTCCGATACGACTCCCCGAGTATCAGCGCCGCAGCCACAGAGAACAAAAACCCCTCCGCGAGGGCGTTGGCGCCGGAGTCGATTGCCTTGGTCTCTGACAACGGGCGAATATGTTGTTGTTTCGCGGGTCCACCGAGTATACCGGTACGCAGACGCACTTCGGTGCGGTACATGAGTTGGGCGAGGGACACGCAAAAGTTGCGGAATCGTTCGTGTCTGGAAGAAACACAAAACACAAAACAACAAACAACAAACTCAGCAACGTCCCTCTGGTGTATAAGTAAATCCCAGTCCCCTGTTATTGTAAACACTTACTCCTTAGCCTGTCGCTTAATCTGCGCACTAATAGGTTTCGCGATCGTCTATGTACGGGGGGGGGGGGGGGGGGGGGGGTCCTCGTTGAGCGTATTATCGCAGTATAGTATATCGCAGTATAGTAGTAATAAATAATATTAACACACGGGTGACTCACTCGGATAAGCAGCGTAGCGATCTTCGCTGACGCCATTGTGATTATGATTATGATTTTTGGGTGGGTTCTCTGCTAACCCTCTGTCCCTGGTTATGTTTGTGTTATGTGTGGTATATGGTGTATGGTGTATGGGATGGTCGTTGTGGATTCCGGGCTGTTCTTCCTTAGGCTTTGTGCTCTGTGCTTTGTGTATTCCAATTTCCGGGCTCTTCTTCGTTGGGCTTTGTCGTACAGCTGCTTTGGACTCTGTGCTTTGTCCTCCTTCGTACTCCTTCGTACTCCTTCGGGCGTGATCTATGCAGCCGTACAAACTGGAAGGAAGAAGGGATTTCGAGAGAATTCTCGAGAGTCTGATGAGTCTGATGAGTCTGTAGCCGTCTGCAGCAGTCTGGTGCGTCCGGTGCGTCTGTGGTGAGTCTGGTGCGTCTGATGAGTCTGTGGTTGTCCGTAATGACTCCGAAACCAAACGTCGAAATCGAAACCCGTTACGCGCCCCCCAGGGCGCCCATGTGCATCACCCCCAATTCCAATTCCAATTCCAATTCCGACAAATTCCGATTCCAATTCCGATTCCGACAAATTCCGATTCCAATTCCGACGGCGGAGTCGGAGGCCGTCGATATTACGCGGACTCTGCCGAGCAAGGCTGAGCTTACAAACAAACAAACACTCTTCCCAGGCTCTTCGTTCCTTTCCCAGGCTCATCCCAGGTGCGGGAAAAGAGAGGAAAAGGCAGGAAAAGGCTTAGGCTGGAACGCGTCCCTCGTGCTACCCGCGTGACATGATGTAACTTGGAGTCATACGTAATTGATGATGAATGATGTGTGATTGTAGATCGAAGAGGGTATGTACATATACCTACCCTCCGCTCCGCTCTCCACTCCAGTCTCCACTCTCCGGTCCGTCTTAGACTCAAGGTTAACACCCTTATTGCACCTGTACCCACCCTTTATCGCACTTGTACCCTACCCCTTATTGCAGTTGTACAATGTCCACACAACCACAACAACCACAACACACCGACGCCACCGCCCACGGGAACTCGACGGCGACGTCGATCTCGAATGCGATGTCGAATCCGAGCAACGCATCGGCTTCGGATGGAGTAGAATCAGTGAGGAAATCAGGTACGTGTGTGTCTGTGTCTGGGTCTGTGTCTGTGTCTGTCTGGCTGTGTCTGTGTCTGTGTCTGGCTGTGTCTGTGTCTGTGTCTGTGTCTGTTGTGGATATGGATAAGCCTCAGAGACAGTGTATTAACCCAAAATATGAATATGCTGTAGAACCAGGATCCATCGTCGACCAAAGTACCATCGACCAAAGTAAAGTCCAAGTACCCAGCACTGGTGCAAACCCCAACCCCAATCCCGAAGTACCGTTCAAAGAACGCGTGATCGGCGTAGCGAAGAAAACTCGGGGGACGGTGTGTATTATATTTTATTCCTTGAATATTAGATGTGGAACGCTGACCACTGATTGGATGATTGGATGATTTTGTAGATTCTTAACAAGGTATGACTTAACCTTATGCATCCTTTGCGTTGCGTTTAAAACTGTCTCACCAACAACCCTCTTACTTACTCGTTTGTTGAATGAATTACATAGCCCGAAGTGAAAGAACACGGAGAACGAATCCTCCAAGGGAGTGCGTCTGTGTATGATGCGACGGGTCGGTCGGTCAGCTGAAGATGAGGAAGGAAGATGGAAGATGAACCGCAGGGCTTTTGTGTGTAGAGAAATCTGTAATATTAATATGTACTATGTACTATACCGTTGAGACCTACCGTACTATGGAACCCGGTAAAGTCATAAATCCGTAAATTCATAAACTCATAAATGAGGTCACGTGAAGCTAATAGGAGGTCACATGGGAGCTATTACACCAGTGGCACATCTTATCAACTTACATCTCCTATTTTCAGTTTACAGTGGTTATTTCAACACCTCTGTGATTTGAATGTATATGATAAGCTCTGTTGATAAAACCTTGGAATAGTATTCAGGCAGATTAGGTGCAGGATAACAGTTGAAAAACCAGTGAGTGTGTTATAGTGTACATTACTTGCAAGGAGTTTCCCCAAGCTTGACAGTCAGCATATCAACTTGAAGTACTTACAATTCATGGTTGTTGTGATGTATAAATATAGCAGTTGTAATAAATAGTTGTACTCTATGTCAATGCATCTGCAAAACCTGTGTGTTTGCCAGAGCAAGGGTACTGGCTGGAGAGCACTCTCCAGCACCCAAAGCACTGAGATCAAAATTTTAAACTTGCTCTGGCTGCTGAAAAGTGCTTTCAGATGCTCTTGGAGAATTAGCCAAAAAAACAGGTTTTCCAGATGTGTACTTAATGACAGTGTATCTTTAATGTCAGTGTACTTTAATGTTAATGTCAGTGTATCTGTAATGTCAGTGTATCTGTAATGTCAGTGTACTTTAATGTCAGTGTATCTTTATGTCAGTGTATCTTTAATGTCAGTGTATCTTTAATGTCAGTGTATCTTTAATGTCAGTGAACTCAGTTGACGGTGTTATTACATGCCATTGCCTCAGTTTGCAAAATATCTGTGGACACTAGGTACATTCAACCAACATGAAATTTCTGTTGGTACCCTAAGACTCTAATGCCAGTATGTATACTGATCTGCAAAACCCTACATGACTATTAATTTTGCTGGAAAGTGCTTCCAGCTGTTCCCAGGTAAATAGCTAAGAGTACAGGTTTTAAAGATTAGTACATTGCTGAACAAATTCAATACTATATAACTTGAATGCCCAGAAAGTATCTCAGTATTCTTGGAGACCCCTTGCAAGGACTTTGGCTTAAATGAATTGCAGAGTAGATAACAATTTGTACAAATTTGTGTTTGCAAGCAATTTCCTAGGATTGTGGTCAGTGTATCAGTCACATCTGTAAAACCTATATTTTTGGCTAAGATCTCAAAAGCAGCTGACAGCACTGTCCAGCTGGGAAAGCACTCCCAGTAGTTTATGAGTGCTGAACAGCATGCACAGCACTCTTCAGCTAGTATCATTTGGTCTCATGAACATCCAGGTTTTACAGATCAGTATATGGTCAGTGTATGGTCAGTGTAGCAGTGTATTAATTGGTGTACAAGTACCACACCTCAGGCATGGGCCTGTCTGTTTGCCATACTAATCATTGTACTGATACAGCTTTATCCATGTCTAGAGCAGATTGATCAATGATCAAGCTCAAGACTTGGTGGTTAAGATGAGCAGAAGAATATCAAGGCTGTAAATAATGATGTCATCAAATTCATGAATTTACAGATTTACAAATTTACGGATTTACTGGTTTCCATACCACGCCACTTCTGATACCGTTGTACCAATAACCACAATTACCTCTCCGATCCTAACTCTCCACCACTAACTAGTACTAACTCCTCAACCACTCCCAAGTTCTAACTCCTCAACACAACCCCCACCCCCGCGCCCTCCTCTCCCCCTCTACGGAGTCTCCCGGTGGCTTTACTCCACCGACTGAGGAGGAACGAGTAGTTCCGCTTTTCTGGGGGGATGTATTCGATGCCGAGGGCAGCGAAGAGAGCGTGTTCGGTGGGTGTGGGGATGAGTGTCCATGAGCCAAAAGTAGGACCACCCCCCTCCTCACCCACCTCCCCCACCTCCCCCTCGGCACTCCCCTCGGTATCCCACCTCCACAACCCAAACTCATTCAACACCAACCCCATCCTATCCGCCCTCATCCGCATATCACGCACAAACTCCACATCGCCCGTGAGGAACAACAGCGCAGTGGCTTTCGATGGCATAGGCGCCATCGACAGATCCAGTTTCCGGAATACGTTCTGTGGATTGTGCGGAGTGCGGAGAGCGAGAAGTCGGGATCGGAGGGATTCTAATTCTACCTCTCCTTCTTCCTCTTTAAGTACCTGAGGAACACGTACAACCCCCGTCCACTTCCACTGCCCCACACTAATCTCCCCATCACACCCTTCCCCCTGTGGAACCAACCCCCCAGCTTTCAGCGCCGGAACCACCTCGTTCAGGAACATCGAACGAGCTCTCACAGCGCCCGGGATAACCGCAGGTGATCTAAACGCCAACTCTACCCTTCCTCGGCGGTCGGGTTTCAATTTGGATTTCGTGGTGGTGGTGGAAGGGTGTTTCCGGGGAATAGGTGTTTTTAATGATATGTTTGTTAGATAATCCCTTCCCCCCTCTCCCCCTTCTCCTTCCGCATCCCTCTCCCTCCCCCTCGGTCTCCCCCTCCCCCTCCCCCCCATCCCCTCCCCCAGCTTCGGCCTCGGCACATCCCTCCCCACACCAGCCCCAAACAGCGGATGAAACAAACACACATCAATCCTCTGCGAAATCGGGAACCCCCTCCGATACGCTCCGACGCACACGACTTCGTACTGCGGTGGTAACAGGGCTTTGATGAGTGCGTGGACACGCGTGATGTCGGAGCGCGTGGCGGGGTGGAGGATGTGTGTGAGGTAGCGGAGGTTGGTTAGTTGGGTTTTGGTTAGGTGGGAGGAGAGGGGGTGGAGGGGGTGTGGGGGGGAAGGGGAATTTGGGGAGTTTGGGGAAGGGGAGTTTGGGGAATTTGGGGAGGAAGGGGAAGGGGAGGACTCGAGATGGAGATAATGTTGAAGTTGTTGAATACTCGTAACACCAAGATGCACCAGTTCTTTTGCCGTAGTCAACCCAAGCCCGGGGACTCCGAGGAGTTCATGTACGATCCTCATCCGTGCTTGGTCTTTTGCGCGTTTTCCTTCCCCCTTCCCTTCTCCCCCACCATTCCCTTCTCCCCCACCATTCTTCCCTGTCTCACCCCTCATATCCCTGATATCCCTCAAAACCCCCCTCACCACCCCCCTCAGCTCCCTCTTCATCCCCCCAACGCCTTTCAACCCCTCCACCTCCCCCTCATCCCTGATCTCCCGCTCCAAATACCCGATCTCCTTCATCGCCCGGTTCAGCGCGCGGATTCTGTACCGGTCGCGGTCCGCGCGGAGGGTTTCTTGGGTTCGTGCTGTGGGGTGTTGTTAGTCAGATAGATAGATAGAGGAGGGAGGGAGAGGTACCTTGTTCTAAAACACGTATGATTCGTTCGTTTGTCGTTTGTTCCTTCCCTTCATCCGCTTTCTCCCTTTCTTTCTCCTTCCCCTTCTCCCTATCCTTCCCATCCTTCCCTTTCCCTTCATCCTTTTCCCCCTTCTCTTTCTCCCTTTCTTTCCCTTTGGTCTCGTATGTCCCTACCAACCGTACACCCCTTGCACCCCCCAATTCCCCCAATTCCCCAAAACACCTCGGAGATTTCAAAACGCGTATTCTCCTCCACGCGCTGGATAACATGTATGTATTGTATCGCCGCGGTAGATGGTAGATGGTACTTAGAGGTAGAGGTGGTGGTAGGCGATGGTGGATGGTGGTGGTGGTGGTGGTAAGCGGTGGTAGGTGAGGCGGTGGTACTTTGACGTGGTGGTGGTAGATGGTAGTGAGGTACTTAGACGCTGTAGACGCGGTAAAAGACGGTAGACTCAGTACACAGTACACAGTAGACGGTACGCCAACAACAACAACGACGACGACGATGTACGACACACGCGACGCGGGTAGGGTAGTGTATCAAAACCCGTTCAACTTTTTTTTTAACACGTGCCAAGTAGTAAGTACCAAGTAGTAATTTATAAGCGCCGACCTCGGACCGACGAAAGAAGTGAACAAATCACATGTTTGTATAATAGCGCGCGCCAAGTACGCTAAGTATCGAAGTACACCGTCAATTTCCATATGTAATTCTTGTAATTCCCTAAACTCTCACCCCCCTCCCCTACCCAAGATGAGGCTCATGCAAGCAAGGTGGGTGGGGTGGCTAACATCCAACCATCCAACACCCCCATCCAAAATATCCTGTCATTGTTCTTACATTTTACATTTTACATTTATTCTCTACTTTCCAAATTATGTGGCCTTAAGTTATATATCAGCCCCATTGCCTAGTACTAAATCAGTCACAAGAGAACATAAATCAGAAAATTTAAACACTGAAACATTCACATATCCCAAGTAATGAGAATATAATCAACATAGTAAATCACTGTGTCAGACCTAATAGTCTCCACAGACCTAACAGTCTCCACAGACCTAATAGTCTCCACAGACCTGATAGTCTCCACAGACCTAATAGTACTATTGTTATTTTCATTACAATCAAGGTAGCGCCTGCATATCTACATCTACATCTACTATAGCAGTCTGCCAGCAATATGTAAACGTAAACAATATCAATATCACACCACCCCCAAAAGCATTTAGTTGTTACCTGTCACACGAGGGGTAAGGTTCACTACCTGCCACACAAGAGCTTCACGTTCATCTCATAAACTCTCCGATGCAGCTTTCAGGAATTGGTGGGAGTTGAAGCCCTCAGGCCTCAGTTGTTTATACAGATGAAAAGGTGAAAGTGCATTGAGATTTGTGCGGTGTATCAATACTAGTAGGAATCTTGGAAATGAGGAATTTGTTAAGGTACCGAGTAAATGTCAAGTCCATGCCTCGGGCCTCCATTCCACCGCTCGGCACTCCGAAGATCCACCTTTATTGTAATCTTACTCTTATTGTTCTTTCTCGCTACACATACCCTTTCGTTCTAGTCCCTCTTTATTGTCTTTTACTTTACCCTGCAGGTACTACTCGTATAGCTCCTAGTAGTTAGTCTGGCGCTCCGCACCGCTGCGCCACTCCGTAGATATAAATACTGCCTGTACGCTACTGTAGTTCCTCAGTTTAATTATCAACTTAGATCTCCCTTCCCAACTTAACTCTTCTCTAAGTCTTCAGGCTCAACGCCTTGAAGTACGTTCCACTTGACCTTAGGACTTGAACGTTCTCTGGTCCGCTCCTCGTCATTGGCGATACCGCCGCTCCGACTTGGCTGCTCCTCAGTTCCTCCCTTCTTTACTCTTGATCTCCGGGGACTAACAGCGTAACGGCGGAGTGGTTAATAACTTCACTACTGTCCCACTCGTCTTCCGCACTTAGACACCCTGTGGCTCTGGCACGGATACACGGTGTACATGATCTTAACAGTATAATTAAACTCAATCCGTTAACGTCGTACTGACATATCATTTTTATGCCTCCGAAAACTCGAGCTCAATCTAGAGCTAACTCCGAAGAAAACACTTTCTTCACCACAGCCAACAATCATTTGCCCCATTCTCCGAATCTATCTCTGCCATTGGTCAACCACGTCGCCGTAATCGCGGTTTCGGTCCAGCCACTGTCCCTACTACGTCGACTCTTCCTGAAGCCATGGAAGAAGAACAACAATTCAAATACAGTACCTTGTACACTGGTGACGGACAACCTGTCCAAGTTCTGACCCCTCGCCGTGGACAACCCCCCGTGGTCGCTCCGGCTCGGGGCCGTTCAACTACTCGAATTGATTCTCCAATTCTCCAAGCCATAGCCCGCCGTACGGGGAAACAACCCCAACGTCGCGCTGCTTCTGAATCTCCTTGTGACCCACCTCCTCACTTCGATTTGGACACCGGCGATCACGATGATCAAGACCCTCCTGTCGACCCCGACGATCCGGGCGCCGACAACAATAATGACGATCTGGATGACGACTCCGGCGGTTTACCGCGTGGTGAGCCTGGTGACCCCAGTGGACCTGGTGGACCTAGTGGACCCCGTTCTCCTATCTCTCCTGACATTCCCAACGAGCAACGTGCTATGTTGGAACTCCTCTCGGGATTCAAGGGTTCCATTGAAACCCTCGGTACCATTCTCGCCACTCTCGGCCATCCCTCTGACAGCTCTGAATCCAAGAGCAAGGTCAAGGAGCCAGAGGTATTCGACGGTTCGGACCCCCGAAAACTCAAGACGTTCTTCGTCAATCTCGCCCTGGTCTTTAATGACCGTCCAAAGTACTTCACCGACCAACGGAAGGTGAACTACACCCTTTCCTACCTCAGTGGGTCAGCCAAAGAGTGGTTTGTCCCCGATATCCTAGACCCGGATCTCGACTCGCTGCCGGCCTGGACGTCCTCCTTCAAAGCCCTTGTAAAGGAGCTTCAGGATAATTTCGGCGTTTACGACGCCCAAGGCAAGGCCGAAGATTCTCTCGGTAATCTGAAGATGAAGGAAACCGAGAACATCCGGAAATACAACATCCGGTTCAACACCCTGGCTGCTAGTACCAACTGGGATTCTGCTGCCCTGAAATGGGCTTATGGACGAGGCTTAGCTGAGCGCATCAAGGACGAAATGGCGCGTTTGCCCGAACCGACGACGCTCGCCGATTACTGTCAAGAGGTTCTTTGTATTGACAATCATTATTGGAAATGCGAGGAAACTAGAAAGCGTGAGGCTGGTAAGCCTTTCATTGCTCGGAACCCGAAGAAGGGTTCCTCGGACTTTAAGACTGGTTCTACTAACCAGCAAAACAACTCTCAGCCATCTGGCTCTTCGGCGCTGTTCACGCCGAAGCCTAAACCCTTCTCTGGTGGTAAGCCTAACAATAATGGTAAGCCCCAGAACTCTTCGAATTCCGGCCAATCCGGCGGTCAGCGCCCTGCGTTCAACCATCTTGGTGCAGATGGGAAGGTCCTTCCCTCCGAGAAGGAAAGAAGGATGAAGAACAACCTTTGTCTCTTCTGCGGTGGTAAGCATCAGATTGCTGACTGCAATAAGCGAAAGGCCCGAGAATCGAAGGGCCGTGCTGCCGAGGTTGAAGAAACCCCCGAAGCAACCGTCGAGGTTGTCGAAGAGGAATTGGAAAACTAATCCGCAGCTCTTGTGCCCCGGTACGAAACGGGAGCTGCGTTGATCAGGTTCGTACCTCACCTGGGGAGTTATATCTCAACGCGTCCGCTCTTTCTTCTATTGAACGATCTCTTGTAATATCTTTGACTACTGAATTTCCTTTGTCCGATTCGGCCGCGCCGGCCGAACCTATTTCTGCTCTTCTCAAATTTCTTACTCTTGTTGATTCTGGTTCTACTGACTCTTTCATCGATACTCGTTATGTTTCACAAAATTCCATTCCTACGACCAAAATCTCTCCTGTTAATCTTCGTCTCTTTGATGGTTCATTATCTTCTAAACCCATTACCGATATGGCGAATATCACTGTTCGGTTCCCTTCTGGCGAGCTGCTTCTATTACCCTTTTATGTTACTCATTTAGATTCATCTTGTAAAGCAGTATTAGGTTACAGTTTCTTATCCCGCTACAATCCATTGATTGACTGGGCATCTCGAAACATTACGTTCCGTAACACTTCACACTTTGATTCTCCACAGACGTCTGTGCCTTCTGCCATCAACCCCGTTGATGCAAAGGTCGCTGTTCCGCTACCAGAACTTTCGCCGTCGGTTTCACCGACAATTCTGGAGACCCCTCCTGGGGACTCACCTCGCTCTCGCTCTCGCCCCCACTCTCGGACTTCACGGGCCAAGCCCCTTTCGTCCAAATTCCCCTTTGAACCCATCTATTCTTACCCTACGGTCTCTCAATTCGCTGCTCAACTGGAAAACCCTGAGGTCGACATTGCACTCGTTAGTGCTGCAGTCTTTAACAGGGCTTGCAAGGACGCTGGTATGGAACCTATTCTTCTTCGTGCTATCCACTCAGAGGTCACGGCCCGCGCCGCCGACCGCTCTTCCACCACTCCTACTGTCCCTCCACTCCATCCTTCTATCCCAGAAGAGTACGCCGAGTTTGCAGATGTCTTCGACAAGATTGCTGCAGATTCACTCCCTGAACACAGACCTTACGACTTGAAGATTGACTTGGAAGAGGGCGCTTCGCCGCCCCTCGGCCGTATTTATCCTTTGTCTGAAAAGGAGCTAGTCGCCCTTAAAGACTTTATTGACAAACAGCTGGCTACTGGTGCCATCACCCCATCATCCTCTCCTCACGGCGCTCCGGTCCTTTTTGTCCCGAAGAAAGATGGCAAACTTCGCCTTTGCGTCGATTTCCGTGGACTCAATCGTATCACCAAAAAGGATCATTACCCACTCCCACTCATATCAGATCTTCTCGATGCTCCGAAAAGAGCTAAAATATACACCAAATTGGATCTCACTCACGCTTATCATCTGGTCAGAATCGCTGAAGGTGACGAATGGAAGACCACCTTTCGGACCCGTTACGGCTCCTACGAATGGAAGGTTATGCCGTTCGGTCTTACAAACGCCCCCGCGGCGTTCCAGCGGTTTGTTAATGACATCTTCTCTGACATGCTCGATGTTTGTGTCATCGTCCATCTTGACGATATTCTGATCTACTCTGATACGCCAGAAGAACACCGTGAACACGTCAAGGAGGTTCTTCGGCGACTTCGCCATTATCGGCTCTACGCCAATCCCGAGAAGTGCGAGTTCAATATGGATACTGTTGAGTATTTGGGTTATATTCTTTCTCCCGACGGATTAACCATGTCCAAGGAGAAAGTTCAGACAGTCCTAGAGTGGCCGGTCCCGAGGAAGGTTAAGGACATTCAGTCCTTCTTGGGTTTTGCAAATTTCTATCGTCGTTTTATCTATAATTATAGCGATATCGTTGTGCCGATGACTCAGCTTACCCGAAAAGGCGCTCCCTGGATCTGGGACAACAGCTGTCAAGAGGCCTTCGAAAATCTCAAATCTGCTTTCACTTCT